TGTACGCCTGTTCGTGTAAGAATTTTGGTTCATATTCTGCAAAGATGGATGATACACAAATTCCCCTGGAAGTAAGAGTCTCAACTCGCAGACGAGTTTATCTGCACTATATCAGCTTTCACTGCACCGCGAGTACCGTGCAGCATGAGTGGAACAGCATCGGTTCACTGTAAAACAGTTGCACGTGAGACTTAGGCTTTGAGATGTCGATGAAGTCGTTCTGCCAACCCATTTGCTTGTGGGTGGTAGACTGTTGTTCGAAATCCAGTGGTTCCTAGAATTTTTGTAAGACAGAGAAAACGTCAAGATTGGAACTGGATTCTACAGTATGTAGGGATAGTTTATGGGCAACCGACGTTTGTCACCCACAGTTCGACGACGGCGCAGTTCACTGTTCCAGTAGTAATATCCTTAGTGAACACGGCTTCCGGCCACTGTGTGAAACGGTCTATACATGTTTAAAGGTAAGATTATTCGTTTGACTTTCATAAGGGTCCTACCAAATCCAGATGATCATGGTCGAAGCGAGCGTCGAGAGTTTTGAAGGAGCCTAAAGGGACACTCATTGTGTTTAATCTAGCAGCTTATACAAGAACGCGTTCACTTCCTCACGTCTCTTTCATACGAGGCCAACAACCTGATGGTTGCTCATACAACATACTAAACACGTTGTTTTAATAATATTTAGGCACGATTTGACGATATGTGTGAACTGGCAAAATCGTATAACTGTTTCCATCCGAATGATCCCTAGTTTCAGTGTTATCAAAAGTAACTTGTGCAGAAGATTGATGTATTGTAATTACAATAATGTTCATTTCCTGAAACTGTTTAGAGACATTATTCTGGAAAAGGCGTTTACAACTGAATTGTTTGCCCCAGAAATGTGTCGCGTATCTGAAGTAAGCTGTGAAACGTAATCCACTTGTCGAGACTCTCGAGGGGAGTACTTGGCTGAAGATGAACTTAGCGTAAATTTGAGAGAATTGTGGTTGATTAACAGAGTTGATTCTAGGCCTTCAACAGCACAATGCACGTTTAGGAGTTCCCTAGTGAATGCGCTATACCTCGATTCAGTGTCTAGCGACCGTCTCTAGAAGAATGCTAAGAGTTACCAACCGTTGTTAGCCCATTTTAGTAAAACTCTTCCGATTGCTGAGTCCGATGCATCTACAGAGATACTAATGAGCACATTTGCTTTCGAGGTAAGTTTCTTAACTCTAGAGTGAGTCTCAGTAATACCATCGTCCTAATTGGTGAGTTTCTCATTCCCACGACTTTGGTCGGTCAGCGGTCTCATCAGAAACACGTATTTTGATATGAACTATCGATACAAACTTACCAGGCAGTTGGACGTACGTAACTACTTGACTGCAGTCGGTTCTAGATAATCCAGAGCGGCCATGGTTTTGCTTTTTAGACGGCGAATGCTATGAGCACCAGTAATGTGCCATTAGCAGCCATGGGAATGAGATTATACACCTTAACCAAACCTCATTTCAAAAAACCCAGATGTAACTTTTAAGGTAGTTGTCAAATCGTGAGTGTGCGGATTGGATTTCGCATTCAATCTTCGGTAATTACCAAGTGAACGCCAACTATTGCTGTCTTTTTTCGGGACCATGTGCAGGGCAGATGTCCATCGGTTGTTCGATGGCCAAATAGTTCACAAGTCTACCATGTGATCGAAATCGTTTTAGGCCAACCTCAGCTTTTCGGGAGCTAGTCAGCGTGCTTTCGATTGTAATGATGCTCTTGTAGTCGTGATGAGGTGCGCAACATTACTGGTTAAGCACAGTGATTTTCATCGCGTTTGGTATAATTCGCGAAGCTTAACAAGTATCTGTAGATAGAACTGGTTGATCGTTACAGTGACTGGGAATAATCCTCAAACGGAAAAGAAAGTTATATAAACAGATGATTTGATATTTCCATCAACTAGTCTCCGTTTGTTTATATCAATATGTAGACTATGCTGTTTCGGCGGGTCTGTAGAACTTATGGTCTACTATGATATTAGTACTGCTCTAATAATAGACCTAATCCTAAATTTGTAGATTTGTCATGATATGACTGCCTAATCTATAAGATCTTACGTGGAAGTCACACCATCGACTACATCAACTCACTGTATCGTATCAATTACCAATACATGATGTAGAACAAGGTCAGGTTAGAGAAAGAACAATATATTTAATATGAAAAGAAGATATAAGGTAACATTCAGCAGAGACCACGCCTGCATGGCCGAGCCATGCCGTTCGATCAACTCTAGTCCATTCAATTCATTAGTCGCGCCTTCTCCATCGTTAGGTATTTCTTCGCGTAAATATTGAATATCTATTTTCTGAGTAATCTCGTATTCAGCTTTGAGGATTGTGTGGTTATGGTCCAATGCCACTACAGGTCTACATCAATGATTAGCATAGAATCACCTATTACAACAAAGAAGCAGTGGATGGGTTCGCACAGATTCACCTTGAGATCAACGTATCGCTTAACTTATGAGGCAGCCGGTTTCCTATTTACATCTGTAATTTGAAAGCCAGTTCATATAGACGGTCGTCAGGGTTTTTAGGAAGGCTTATTTCTGAGACAGTGTCGAATGGGTATAGAAATTTGTCATCTCATCAGTAGTATATAACAGACGACTGTGTTTGCGGATGCGGTTACCATTAACGCGTGGCCGTGGAAGAGTTCCGCAAACGTTTCTGACTGTCGAGTAGTTTGGAGCTCGAGAAATTACATGGTTTTACTCAATTTTAGGAGGTACCAGCATCATTAAGGATTATATGTCATTCGTGGTTTTCGAAACAGATCTCTGTTGTAATGAGCGTTTCCGAGAATTTTGAAAGCGTCGACGATTACGATGAATATCGAGATGAGTTAATGTGCGCAAAAGGTCTGTGACATCATATCGTGCCGTTCGAAGTTTTTCTTTCACTAAATAGACCTCGGTGTTCGAAGTGCTGGTGATCTCCAGTATTCGATCGACAGATGTAGCCAGATCACCTGCATCGCTATTTTGAAATGAAGAAGCACTGACTGCACCTGTTCGGGAAGCTTAGACAAGAAAAGTTTTCTAGACAGTGCCTAGTCAAAGGTTCGTTGACCAATATCCTCCCTCATTCGTAGCAACATGTCTGTTGCTGAGTCATGTTGGAGATCAAAGTAGTTGAAGAGTCGGTTTAACCGTTGTCGACTGGTTGGATTTACACGCTTAAGCATAGTCTATCCTAAAGTTTCGAGACATCACTAGTGAATATACTAGGTGAGGCGTACCAGTTAAAATCTCATGGTAGTGCTTTCATTGCTGAGAGAAAATGTGCACGTTGTTCTGTCACTCCTAGTTCATGGAAGTCAGCTTATGAGTAGCCCTCGATATTGTCGGGTGAAAATGGCATCGGCCGAAACGAGATAGGCGAAAGTCTTAATCCTAAATAACTTAGGAGTCTGTTCCGTCATGATTAATATAACGCTCTTGTCAACACACTCAGTCGATATTCTGGTTTCGAATCTGTCTGGCAAATGTGTAGTCTCGCAATTGGTTATTATGGTCGCTTCTGATTCCTTGGCTCAACGTGATTACGTCTTACGTCTGCAGCGTTTTCAGGTCCGCACCCATACGAACGCAATCCTGAGATCCTGGTTACAAACCAATCTGGTGTGGTACACTAACTCGAGCAACAAATACAACACGATTTTCCTGGTACCATTCTACGTAAAAGACCTTCAGTGGCAACTCGAGGATCAACGATCGCTTCTTGCTCTGCCAACCCTCTCGTCCTACAATCGCACGTTTGCCGATCAGTCCCACGGACGAAACCGCCACATATCGAAAGTGTAAACGCTTTCTAGCGGGGGTCTCCTGCAGTGACCTACTTTCATCAAGAGAACGCGAATTGTGTAATTGAAACAATTATTATAATCAATTGTACCGGTGATTGTTTTATTGTACTTTTTGATTTAACCGTACTAAAGACGTCCCTTCTTCTGTTGATTGTGACCTTGTACGAACTGACGTTTGCTCACTAATTCCGTTTGTAATCCTTTGGCACGATCTCGATATTATTTCGATACAATGAGATTGCCAACAAATATATCTCGCTACAACCTTCAGTCGCTTCTGATTTCTGGTTTACTTGAAGGTTTAGCCTGTTTTGGTATGCAATCTTCTTGTAGTGATGGTCATAGTAAAATGCGGCTTGACGCCACACCATAGAATAACAAAGCTATTACTATAGGGTTCTATCTACCGCTACAATTGCATTGCGTATTTTCCTTGACCGAAAGCAATAGTAATTTAAAAGAAGACGCGATATCAATACAAGCTATCCGGACATTCGCCTCCACGCTTGACACTACTACTACTACTACTACTACTACTACTACTACTACCATTCCAATTTTTGCTGGGACTGGAAAATTCAATAGCCGGAGGATTTCTCTAACGTTTTGTATCTGAGCTTCTAGTCCAAGCAGACAAATCTCTCTTTAGAGTATTTTTTCAATCTTAGAAGATGCCGTTAAACTTCCTGAGTTGAAAAAGACCCAACTTTTTCAATTTTGAGACGTATGATAATCCAATGTCACCCATTTGTTTCCAATTCTCCCTAGTTTCCATTTCAGGTCGTGTAAGTACAACAATAAATGATTGCCGTCTCACGCAAAGCGTTCAGAATCCCTCTTTGAGACAGCTCTATTTTATGCAGACCATTTTCTACTGTTGAAACGATAGAGAAAACGCATTTGAATGTAAATGATCCAATTTGAAATCTTGGATAAAGCTAATACCCTTATTTCCAATGACAGATCAAGAAAAAGATCTGACAAAAGTTTCTGGTGCTTCATTTATTTTGCTTAGGCAAGGAACTTCATGAGGATCGAGTCTTTCTTGATTTGCTGAATACCAAGTTCAAATTGTTTGTTCTTTCTACTTTCATTCATCTTCTCAAGGTTGTGGCTCAAGGAGCTCGCTTACTCGCGTATTTTGGTTTCGTAGATTGTAACGTAGGTTTTCGTCTTACATGAAGGTACCATGTGTTCTGAGAGAGTATTAGTTTCAGTATGTGATAATATCTTTAATAGGAAAGAATAAGAGAAAAGGTTGGCTGACGACGAAGTAAGCACAGTGAATTTACTAGTGTAAGCTTAAATTCAATGACGAACGCAATTGACGACATTCAGAAATAACATCAACGTGAGATTAATAAAAATGTAACAGTTAAAATAAGAGGCTGATAGTTCAATGTTCTGAACGTGTTAAAACGTGGTTAAGCTTGGGAGCGCATGATTATAATCATGAACGTGTTCAGAATTTACTGTTAGCAGATAGTATTGCAACATCAATGAGGTCTAAAGATTTTTCGTGTATATTTTTGGGGGCTTTTATTAATTTACGTCCGTTTGGAGACTTAATAGGGAGTTGACTATTCACTGATTAGTGACTTAAGTCTCTAAAACTTTGCAACTTATTATTTACATATTATAATTGAGAATGTCTTTAGAAAAGTTTCGGCTTTATTTCTGGAGTTTTGAGTGCTACTCAATAAGCAGAGTTAAATTTCAGGAAACTGAACTTCTCAGTAGGTGATTTCCATGAGAAGATGCAGAGTTTTCCCTTTCAAGTGACTGATTTTTTATGGACGAATCAATCACGTATAACATGATAGGTCTCGGATGTGGGCGCGAAATGCACTCATTCATTCGAATAAAGGAAGTTTTGGCGCTATAGCTGGTGTTAGTTCGCGGTTTCTAACCGTAATCACAAACTGTAAATCATAATTCTAATTCCTCACACAGGTTTATAACCCTCATTTGGTCCTGATTATTATGTTAACACTCTAGGTTAAACTGGCGTCGCTCAAAGGTCGTCTACAAATTACAGTCTCACCACTTTCAAGATCTAAAATCCCTACATAACCTTTTTCTCAGTTTTATGGCGTGTAATATCTAAGCGGTTTTTTATCCGGAAAATGTCCTTGAGGTACTTTTTTGAATTCTTTCGAATTTACTTGGAGTTAGAAGTGTACACTTCCCATCAATCGAATATGAAAAAACTCAATTTAGGCAAAGTACGGTGTTCGATTTTGAGTTATGTTTTATGAATTTTGTTAATTCACTACGGTATGTTTCTGTTAATAAGCGTCGTAAATAACATGGTTTCACTAGTTTCACGGTCGTTTACTTTTTCCAGCTCCACATCGTTGTATGAATTCATTTCAGTAGACTTAGTTTCAAAACATCTAGTTACAGTAGATGACCTTAATCATTTCAAGTGCCATCGCATTTAAGGGTTTGAACTGGGTGCTTGTTTCAAGAAAAAAAAACAGTGAAAGGCGACCCATATATTGGCGAATACAAAACTGTTTCTATAAAAACAGCTGGTACTAAGATGTTCCCTTTGAAAATAATACTGTTAGTGTTTAATGCATCACCATTGGGTCATATTTCATGCATGTGATTTGTATGTCAAAATTTGACCCATTACGAATATGTTTTAAATTTTGTGGGTGTGCTTTTCTTTAGCGTTGCCTTATCATTCAGAATTTTTCGAAAAACTAAAATAATGACAGACAGCAGGTGCAGAATGAAGCAAAGCAACACAATAATGGAGTACTTATTAAGGATGATAAAAGCAACTAATATTATTTCGTTGAGTTCTTTAACTGCTTGCCTTTTTCGCTCCATGGATGACAGCCAAAAAGTCTATAAATGTTCATACTTCTCAAATAGACGGTGACTTGATGAGCTTAGCGCATTTGGTCACGGGTGATTTACTTTTAAACCAAAAAACATCGCTCTATGAAGTAGGTAAGGACCAATTGTACTTATCACTAGTTTAGTCACTCTAGCTTGTGCAGTGTAGGAATGGAGGTAAAAATTTCGTATTCAATGTGGCTGAACATTGAACACACTCCTAAATTTGTCTATTACTTTTGAACTTAAATAAATCCTCACCTAGAGCAGTTTGGTTGGGGGAATCAAGTGACATAACCGAAAATCATTCTGAGCAGCTCAGTTGTATGCAGTTTCCTGTTGTCCAAATCTGTCTGATTTACAAAGACCAGTGAATTAATATGACATCGCTAATAAGTTAATCACTCATAATCAATGCAAAGCCTCACCCAAATCTATTGATTGATTGAAGTTATTTTATTACCATTTTGTGCCAGATTTTGTGCTCAAGTAAAAAAGGAAACACCTAACAAGGATTACGTGACCTTAAAGTTTATTGTACTGTAATATAATTAAAATGAACTGTATTTGTGGTCAGATTTGAAAAACCACTAAATATCAGCTTAGAAACGTCAAACGGTACAAAAAAAGTGACACTGCAGTATTGAATCTATGAAAAAATAACTACATATCATTACATGTTCTTTCCTTCACGGTAATTGGCTCAGATAATGTATTGGTTAATGAAATTACTGCGATGTTGAGATTTCGTTTTATTTCTGAAATTAATTTTTCTAGAAAGACAAAAGTACTTTGTCGTATTCTGTTTGAGGCTTGGTTAGTGCACTTCATAAGTAATACCTTCAATATAGTAACCACATAAAGAATTTACTGAACCAGGTCTACATGATCGAAATTCTCAGTAACTTGCAATATAATTTCACTGTGCTTTCAACCAGTAGGTCGCAATTTCGAATCCTGGATTACCTACCGTAGTATTAGAGATCAGAATCGATCACAATGGCGGTGTACACTCTTTTTCTTCCTTTAAACTGAGGTTAAAATTAATTTATACCTTTCTTTCTACGAAATAATTCTTTCTTCCTGTGTCATATGGAATCTTTTTTAACTACCATCGAACTAAATGGTTCCATGAATTTGATGTTCATCTTGTTGTACTAATGTGTAACAACTTGGACCGACACATATATGCGCCTGATCCTACGTTGCAGCTGACTGACTGAGATCAGTTAGTATCACTAACCCTTACTCATTGTAGCTCCAAACAGGGTACAGAATCATGTACTTCGTAATTTAGTGACATTTACGTATTTTTATTTTCAGTAAAGTTGTAGTAAGATAAAATTGGTTCGCTTTATTTCATGATTACTAATCATCAATTTCTATTTCTTCATGGATCCTACTTCAGTTATTTATTTATTTGAACACATATATATTGGTACAGGAGTGCGCCGAATATATCTACTTCAGTTAACAATCGGAAAGTCCCCACATGGATCATAAAATCAATGAAATAACTGAAAATATTAAGCAACGTAGTCGTGAGGGTGCGTATCCTCTCTTCAAGCAAACGGGTCCGGAATATGTGATGCCGAAATTTCCGATTGAGAGGAAAGAGATGGAAGATCATATCTTGGAATTAAAACTGGCCCGGTAAGTCAACGCGCATTTCCATTGTTAATCAGATATATGGAAAATGCTTGAATGAGTGGTGGTTGGAAAAAATGTTGAAATATGTGACTGTTTAGTGATGGCAAAGTTATCCTGAAATGCAACTGTTACTCCAAGCAAATCACATGATCTCTTTGTCGTTTATTTTCATTTTCTTTGTATGCAAGTTGTCAGATGCATTTCGAACCCTTCAAATTCACGACTTACATTGTGGTACTCTTCAGTTTCCTAGAGAATTGTTTCTTAACTATCTTGGGGAAGATTTAAATTTTCAACCTTAATCTCAAGTTGTAAATCCTGTAATAGCTCCAGGTGTTTTTCAAATGAATTCATTGCAAAGAAATAGTCGGTGGCAGATATCTATTCAGCGCTTTATATATGATGTTTATCTGGTTTAAATGAATCAATAAATATTCCATTCCTCCTACCCACTTTGTTAAATTTCATTCGCTTCTCTTGCTTATCTTAGGAAACTAATTAAAATTTCACAATGCTTCAGAGTAATTTTTTGTAGCTTGTGTACTCCATTAAAACAAGATTGCTTTCATAATTCTAGAGTGTAAACCGAAATATAATAAAGTTTTCTAGTGAGGTAATGGTTATTTCTTGTATGTTTTTATTATCACCAGTTCTCATCTCTAGTCTATTTATTGATCCCCTCTGTAACAAGTTATGTCTAATTGTTGTCTTAAATACCTTTGTTTCAGAGCATTAAGTGTGGCAGACAATGATTCTAAACTTCTCGTTAACGAAGAAAACCATGATCTTACCATTTCGAATCCTTCAGCTACCTGTAAAGCTATTAGTTTAGATGACTGCAATTCTTTTGAAAGCATAACAAACGATCATGAATCTGTGTTATCTAGCAAAAAGAATATATTTAACCAAGATTCTTTCAACTCTTTATCCGTACTCCCTGAAACACCATCTGATGAACCAAATCTTCACTCTAGCCAATCTGCTACTTCAGACGTGAATACGTCTTTGGAATCTGGTAACCGGATGCAACCTAGGCTTACTCAAAACAATATTCAGTTTCAAAATGAGCAGAACTGTGGAAGTTCTTTATTCCGAAGATTATACAGCATCCCTAGTACAAATAACGATGGATTACCAATATATTTAGCACCTGCGCCAAATCCAGGCGTATTCACAGATGTAGTTCCTGTTCTCCAAGAAGTAGAAGAAGCGGCTGAAGCACACATAGAGTCAGCAGCTGTAGAATTCCAACGTGTTCAAATCTGCGGGGATGATACTCTTGGTGTAAGTTTTCCAAACCCTGATTTACACTTGGTTATTTAAAATTATACTGGTATCGCTTCAGAAATAGACACGATATCATTATGTCAAATGTTTGAACTCACTTTTTATGTGATCTTTGAGGCAAAACCGTAGTAATTACGTTAAACGAACCAACAAATGCTGACTGGATTACGCTTATACTTGTTTACTATCACTTTCAAATGGTATCAAGAGCTTGGTTTTCCGGATGTCTTTATTGACAAGCTAATTTCTGAGTGTTTGTCTTATCACAAACTAGTATTCATATGAATATATATTTACCTATTTAGAGTGGGCGTTAAATACCAAATTTTTTATAGTCTTCACGATGTACAACAAAGCCGAAACCTTTTCATGTGTAACTTCTTAGGTTTTCTGACCTGATCTGTCATATTAAATGCCAAGATTTGAGGTTATATGATTGTTTCAGCACACATCTAGTCACATGTTCCTTCATTGTGTTGACAGATACTATAAAATTCTCGTAGTTAACATTTCAAAATGACCTTAGGTAGTCGCTGGAAACTGGGAAGTATTAGACAGCTTTTGGTCCTAGTATGGAACTTCGCAGTGGAGGACATACGTAATCCCTCCGGATATCAAGTATGGTAGTGAGTGCATAACTTTTAAATCACTGAGTTTGTATACGGAGGTTTACATCTCAAACCTTAATCAATTCGCGATTTCCAACAACCGTCTTCCACTGTTGTTGGTGAGTGACTGCCTTACATCCGACATAGTTGAAATCCACTGACCATCGTTTGTCATTAGTACTCCTGAAATTACTTCAAAATTAGTCATTGAAGAGTGCTTGATTGTTATTAATATAAAGGATCAGTTCGTGATGTAAACGTTTTACATCAGTTCTAAGGATCGCTCATTTTTACCAAAGAAGCAAAATGTTTCTTAAACCGCTCTAATAATTTTGGCCAAGTTGGAAATCAAGCGCTTAATTTTATTATTATTACCTGAGGTAGCATCATATTTCACTCTATTTCAACCACACTAAAGATATATATATATATATATATATATATATATATATATATCCCTAGTATTCGTAAATTGGGCATGATAGTGGAAAATGATGATTCTTTCTCACTTATTCCTCGTTAATCAAACACCCCCACCATATAAACCTTATTTATTCAACCATTTTCTTTGATTTTCATACGGAAGTATGGTCGATTTTTCTTGATTATTTTGTTGCCCTTAGTTTACATCATACTTTAAATAAGCTTCAAATTTTCACGAGAGGGAGCAAACTGCTCCGTAACTAACTTATATTAGTATCAGTCGGTTCAACACACTATTTATGTATTATATGGACCACACATGGCTCTTTACGTCTTATTTGTTTATCATGTTATTTATCAATTTTTATTAAAATGAATTAGTACTTTATCATCAATTTTCTGAAGCTAGTACAAATTGTGGTTTTTTTTATTACCACTACTGCCATGTTGTTTTGATAGGTTTTAATCTTAATCTAATATTGATTATTTAAATTGTCACTCTGTTGTATAATTGAAGATTACTAATTGCAATAACCAAATTAATAAGAAATGGTTTCTATTCAAAATATGATTGTAAATAATTATAAACTCAGCCATTTTGTATAGGTGTATGCTTTACTCCATGAACTGTATCCATTGTGTTAAGAGTAATAATACTAACTGGTTACTGAGACTCGAGTATTAAGAATAAATTTCAAACCATTCACCGGGTCTGTTGTGAGATAGTAATTCACTGAAGACAATGGTGGACGGTGGCGCAATGTCGTGGATTGGTTGAACTTAGACATTAACACCGCCGGATGCCGGCTCAGTGGTCTAGAGGTTAAGCGATCGCGAGAGAGACCGATGGGTCCTGGGTTCGAATCCCGCGGGTGGGATCGTGGTTGCGCACTGTTGAGGAGTCACATTTGATGACGGAACGGCCATCCAGTGCTTCCAGGTTTTCCATGGTGGTCTAGCTTCAATCGACTCATGAACTCAATTATTAAATTACTATAATATCCATAAAAACCCCTTCTGATAACATTCACAAACTTTTTCAAGTTTGACCACCGAAAATCATATGCTTGAAACTATTTCGTATTGGTTCATCTAGTGGGATTTTATTTATTCCCTAATAGGTTAGTTTTATAAATTTTCTGATTAATTTTTCTTTTTTTAAAAGATTAAGCATTCCGAAATCCAACCAATCTTCATTAAGTTTTTTACACATCTATTCCAAATTAGCTTCCTTCGATTCATCCACATACTGCTGGAATTTTCGCCCTGTCACAGGTAGCATCAATCCATCTAGTAATTTTCATTTTAATATGTGTACACTATAATAATATTTTACACATGAATATCACTAATTATAGTATACTCAGTTAGTGTTTTGCACTTGTCCAGTAGATTTCTCTGAGTGACTAAGAGCAATGTGTGATTGTAGCACTTTTTTCCACATCAGACTCTAACTACTGATTAAAATGGAAGTTTCTCGTATTTCTTTTAAACTGATGAAAAGATCTTACTAACAAAATGGTAATCTTAAATGGGAATAAGTTTGTTTTTAGTAAAAATAAAGTTCTTATTGATTAAATTAACTAATTTATTCTATATTAGTACAGATATGGGATAAAAATAAATATTCACCACATCAATAGTTGGATAAGATTGTGAAAAAATAAACAAAGGAAAGGCATTATGATCAAAAAATGGTGAAATGAATGAAAATAAGGTTACAAGGGTAATGTATAATGTGGGGGACAGTTCAGATAAAATACAACCAAAAAGAATCCTCTCAATTAAGGGAATTCCTTTCGTTTCTTGTAAAGTCAATGGAAATTATCACGATCTCCATTGGTTTCTGTTCTGAGCCATATCTGATAACGTATCGGGCCACTGAGTTACACTATCTATCGAACCCTAACCAGGCAGTCATGGTTGATTGACAGATCCCAATCCTATACAGCTTTCTTTCATCACACTTCACCGTGCCACAAACTGACTACTTTTTATAACCGACTATGAATTGAGCAAACAAAACGGGATGTAGAATTCGCTTGAACTACATTATTAGTACATATCCATGCCATCTAAGGTAGTTTTTTAAAGTGTTGACACCAATTAGATGATCGTCACCGAGCCAGAACAGATGTTGTCGAACCTCTGCATTTCTAACATAGTATTGATACTACATATCAATAATCCTTTGGTGAAAAATGATGATCAATCACAGTCACCAAATATCCACAACATGAGGAGTCCGGGTTTCCGAAGTATGGAGTAGAATTACTCTCATCAACGTGTTGTAAACCCAACGTTTTACGGCCAGATCAAAATCAGGACTAGTTCAAATGCAGATTTGTTTCAGCCTTGCAAAAGTGCTTTGGGTTTAAGTGTAAAGTACATGCCATACCTACGGACATTGATTTACAAGTAAGTGGGTTCAGTCTGTACCGTTTGATTATCATTGCACAGTACGACATTATCACTGGCATAATCATGATTGAAAGTCCTCCTCCAGATGACAGACCTACACCACCACTACTTACTTTTCTCAGCTGTTTCCAGAATGTTGCCAATGACAAAGATGAAAGTATTGGTGAGATTGGGCATCCCTATTTAATCCTACTGCCTGATTCTCGCAGGTCGCTCTTCCACGGGTTTTAAGCGATCTTCGAAGCGTGACGGAAACCAGTAGTTTGGACTCAATCATAAGTAAACTTATTTCCCGATAGTTGTTGCATGATGCGATTTCTTTTTGAAGATTGGGATGGCAGTCGCTTGACTCCAGGATGTTGACACACTTTATGTTTGTGAAACGTTTTCAACCAAACCGGTTAGTTCGCTAACAAAAGGTCTCCCACCTTTGAAAGGGTTGGAGTTAGTCTTCTGAGCCTAGTAAGTCATCATGCTTCAAAATTTGGAGTTCCTTGAGGAAATCCCGCTTTTTAAGTGGATCGTCACCGGCTATGGATGACAAAATTGTCTGATCGATATTGGCAAGACACCAGACCAATTGAACTGGTTTGGGAAGAACTCCAAGACGTCGTTAACTGTTATTGGTGTTTTATCGGCTTCACAAATTCATTTTCTCAAACCCAGAGTTACTACCATTGGCTAAGTTGAATTAAAAGTGCCTCAGATAGTTAATAGATATGTTTGCTATCAGATTCGCGTCTAACTGAAGTAGACTCGGGTGCCTCAAATAGTTGTAGCGAGCCATTAGAAGCCCAGTGTTATAAAAGAGGGACGTTCGGTGGAGCCAAAAAATGACAGACTGATTACTAGCCTTGAGTTTAACTCCGTCTGATATTTGGTTGCGACCGGAGCGACAGTCGACTCGCTTATATCAATCAGTTCATGACGATGAGTTTTCTGAGCACTTAAACGAAAGATCGCGGTAGCGCGAAACAAACCATGACTAGAGTCCAGATAGGTACGCCAGAATGAAAGGTAGTCTTGTACATAACCATGCCGAGTATAGCCGATCACGATGTGATTGATCTAAGTCCACGGTTGAGTTAAAAAGTGAGAATGCCAAGAGTGCATCGTCGATGACTTCCGAAATTTGGTGCTGACCAGTGACAAGTTTTTGTCTGTGCAAAGCTGCAGGAGACGGTCACCATTAGTTGACCGGAGATCGACGAGCCTCTTCGACCACCCAAGCGACTCTGCTCTGTACCTAGACATTCGATCTGTGGGTTCGAACTTCTGACTAGCACTAAAATGTGTCGAATGCGCTTTTTTGAGATTATGTGACTGGTTGTAAGATTCATCTTTGATTGTGTGCGGACTGCAATACGTTTTGAGGTAGGCTGAGATAACGACAATGCATTGTTTTTTTTACTTCGACTTCTTATCAATGTGCTAGAGCCTTTTTATCTAGCAACACATAAGCGACTGTTATTGGGGATCCAATCGATTAGTGCAGCCTCTGTTGTGCTATGGTGTTAAGTGCGACACCTCCAGCTAAACCAAACGAAGATCCCGTAGAGTCCTCTGGTAGGCATGTGTAAAACGAATTTTTTGAATCTACAGATAGACATCGAACTTGTGAAATTTTGATAGAGTCCTAAATATAGGTCTCAGATAGACAGCTAACGTTGATATTAAGATTTTCCAAAGACATCGCCAAAGCTACATGTTGTCCAATTTATATTTGTGTGGGAACGTTATAAGAGGCCAGTTTGAATGACCGATTGAATGAATGAGTTTTCGGAAATTGTGGTTCATAATCTGTATTCGGTGATAGCATTTAAAATTTCTACGAGTCACTTTCTTGAATTCGTTTGAGGAGGACAAAATTTCCTCCCTAGACAAGCTGCAATGTGAGTTGTAAAACAGAAATAAATGGAAGATGTTAGCAGAACATAATAAAAAAATAAAGCATGATAAAACAAAATCTAATGTAAATGAGTAAGAATTATCTCTTCAGTTAACGGTGAATCTGAACATGGGAGTCGGTTTCTCCATAAGTATTCATTGTCATATTTGTGAAAAGGCTGGGATACTGCTTGGCTTTCCTGATTGACGCAGGTGGTTTTCTTACGAGGTCACTCCCCGAGCCCTTTCGTCTTGGGGTTTAATCCACATGGCAATGAAGTAACTTGAAGTAATGCAAGTCAATAGCCAAAATATCTGATATCACTATCTGTTTATGTTATGTCGTTTTCGAACATTTTTAATTCAGTATCCAATGCAACTAAAATAGTAATAATTGATTCTGTTAGATGTTTTTTTCCGAGACTAGTTTTTCAACTTTTTAAGACGTCAAAGGTTGAAAAATGCTGTTGGTTGTTGAGACCATAGGCTATTGAAATTTTTGTTCCTGGTTGTTTTGTCTTCTTGATGTGGCTTCACGGGACCAGTTATTCGTATTGGATTAAATTTCTGGTGTTAACTGGATAGGACTGTATCCGTAATAATTTATTCTCGCATGGTAATCAGAGTACTCTACTATTACTTTAAATAGTTGCGGCGTCTTCTAGTGTACAAAATCGTTCGTCTTAATTGCAGAATCAAGTTATTAGGATCGAGAACTGGTCGAATCGTAAATGAAATAAGTAATTTGCGAAGGTGAGAAAAATAAATAGTTATAGATTTTAGGCGACATAATTGAAGATCGTTCATAGTAACATGGATCTATTGCCTTTGATTTTTCTATAAACACTGAACACAGGGTCAGTTTTCATTCTTTCTTCCTTCTCTTTACCCATGGTATTTCTATCCTTCATATAAGGTATTGTAAAAAAACTAGTGCGACAATATATACTTGGTTAATCTGTTTCATTATTTGTGGATGTAGAGAACTGCCATTTAAGGGTTTAACATTTTATCTGTATTACAAATAATGAAACTCTAGTCATAGCATGTTCTTGTTTACTCAGGAGCATGTTTTTTTGTGAAGTGATCTAACAACAAATAGATATTGTTGTCGCATTAAAATTCTTTCTTGAACTTTGCTATTTTGTTTACTAATTCCATTTTTCTTTTTGACTAGTCTTGATGAAATTTTTTCAATAAATGTGGTAGACTAAAACATTACTCTTAGATTCAAGTAGTTTTAATAAATGTACGAAGTTTAGAATTGTTAAAACAAATAGATAGAGTGCCAATCAATAAATGAAATGGAATGGCACTATGTGGCAGCCTACAAGACCTGATTATTGACTCAAACTCCCGAACGAAATAATATTAAACGTAGACAAAACTGCCAGCCAGAAAGAAAGATTTTTTGTTTAATAGCGTGTTTATATACAAATGGTTAGGCATAAATAAGCATGGTCATTTGCCGTAAGCGTTTAGAGGATATCATTTCTATAGTTTACCCATTCTCCAGTGAATCAATATCTGACTGTTAGGGTTAATTTATTGCCCATCATATCACAAATAAATTGGTGTAGACGAATTCGTCTAGTAAATTGAAAGGGTTCATTTTTCTAGCCTGATGTTTGTTTTCACAAATATATTCATCATTCTAAAGCATTATGAAATAAGCTCATTTTTATACAAAAAAATTGTTTTAATTGTGATCCGTTTTCTTAGTTTGTTTGTATATGTTCTTCACAGTTTGATGGCCATTTTAATGTTTGAAGGGATTATTGCACTGATTGGTAACATTTTGTATTAGATAACCAATTACACAATCAGATACGTAGTTACGTGAAAACTATGCATGTTTGTTGTTATTTCATATATGCATTGCTATCAGTTTGCCATGTTTGTAATTCTCAGTGCGTCTGACATGCAACATATTAGTTCACGAACAATTTTGAGGCTAGATGAAGACTTAAGGAAATTAAAATTAAGTCTCTATGGCTCATTTTTTAATCCTATTCCCATCCTTTTTTGTCAGTTATGTTCATAATATAAGTTGGGTTTTTATAGACAATTTATGTTCGTTTAATTTATATCGTTTACGGTGCATAATGGATTATATATTAATAATGAAATTAAAACTTGAGTAAACGTCTCACGTTACTACGCTATTTAATAACACAAAAATGAAAATCAACTGAGTAAAGCATTTACATAAAAGAAATGAGTCAGTAGAGATCCTAAGTAACTATGGGTTTAATATTTAAATAAATAGTAATAGCTATTTTATGAGACGCGGCATGGTAATCGGTGACTTTGGAAAACGAATACTACATGCTAATACTTAGCGTCTCATATTGTGGTAACCTATAACTTAATATATGTGACTTAACTACCTCGGCTGGTTTACAGTTTATGTGCATGGTTATTTTTGTTTCGCATTCACTAGTTGAATTCCGTTTATTTGACTTTGACTATGCAAGTATCACTTTGTAAAATGTAAACTATTAATCTATGTGACACCACATTACCTATTCCTTATAATTATAAATCTCATTTACCATCTACTCGATAGACGATCGTTTTAATGACGTTCCAAATGTTATTTTGGCTGCTTTGAATAACTTAAGTCATTTATAATCAGTATCCCAGGTATATTATTTTATAATTTGGAAAGTGATGAAGTTTTAATCGAGACTGTGAATGTTATAATTACGGGTTTCCTTTAGATTCTATTTCGTTAGTATAAACAAATTATACAACGAATTATTTCTATGTTATCACAAAATACTATGTTGACAATCATATTTTTAGTTAGTGATTTACTTAACACATTTATGTCACCCACAATACCACTGATTATTGCAACTTGATTTTGTGATGTTTTGTTTCTCATGGATTTGTACAACTTGTTACGGGTTATTTTTATTTTCTTTTTGGCTAACATTTGACAACCTCATAAAATTATATTACACTTATGGTGGCTAGTTTTATAAATTGTTGTGTTTTTTTGACAATAATGGACAATGTACAGTGTTCTTTCCTCTACAATTCAAGTATTTTCTACAAGTTTAGTAAGTCCCATTTAAAAGGTTGCTTGTCTGGAAAATTAAGTAACATAAATAAATCCTTACAGTGTTGCATATTCAAGTATAAGTATTTCAGTACAAACGCCACTCCAATCCACCTATTTTGTTTTAGGCAGCCTGGTAGTTTTATTAGCCTTCATAACTAAATTTTGGTTCAAAACCGAGTACGTGCATCCATATTTGGTAAATGAGTTATATTATATTCATATGGAACTATATTATCAAATAACTTCTGAATTCATGTGTATAAAACATGATTTGAATGGATTTATCGAGCTTCTATTTTATGCTAATCAAACTTTTGCCATCGTAACTTTCTTATTTAGTAAAAACAGAAATATTATGCAGTTTAATTAAGTCGCTGTCCAAATTTCAATCTGGTTGAATTGTTTTCTTAATTTATACTGTATGATATTTTTTACGTACGCACATAATTACAATTTATTTCCAATGTTTATCAGAAATTGTTTCTGTTTGTATGTATATTTACTTTTTTTAAATCTTATAATTATAGGTTCCTGTAGATGATTTACATTTAGCTTCAGAAGCATTGATTAAAGCCTTATTATTACGTCAAAAATACATTACTTCATCAAAACAATCATTTCATTGTACAACTAAACGATATTTAAGTGTACTGGATTCAGGTTCAGTAAAATTATTGGATTCTGAGGAAAAGCAATATAAATCTATACACACCCCTGTATTTGGTAAGAGTTGTATATTTTAATTTTCCCATATGTTTACATTGCCTTGCCACTAGTAATAATAAAAGTTTTACATATTACTTATTTCATTTGGTGGATTTGTGTACAGCTTTTTTTGGTAGTAACTATTTACTGCGAATCAATCACTCCTAGTTTCATATTCATATTATGTATCAAACGCTTCAGTCTTTTTATGTTTTATTTTCTACTGTGATATAAAATTGTGTAATACGTCGACTTTTATATTGTACTGTTAATATATCTACCTATCGATAAATTTAAACAGTATCCTGATTAGTTTTCTTATCGGAAGTGAATGAAACCTATTATCCAATAGTAGTTTAGTTTCTTGACGAATTCAGTTGACTTCATGTATAAAGTGTTTTTTCTTTCATAATGTTTGTAGGTAAAGACTTTGATTTTAATAGCTGTTTGGGAATTTATTCTTGCGAAAGGTGTTTGTGTTAAGAAACCCTCTTTAGAGTCCTCCAAAATTCCACTGGAATTAGTCGAAAATGTTTTCAAATCATCATTTTGAAATCTCCGAACTATTTGTGTAAAGTTGTACTAATCTTGAGAAAGTTGCGTCCTTAATGGGTGATTCTCAAGGATACTCTGAATTCTACAAATACCAACGCTTTTTCTACCTAGGTCTTTCTAGGTTTTCTTCTCCTTGGTTCCTTTGTGCTCTGAGTTAGAGAACCATTGCTTAGACGTCATGAGCTCCTAGTGTTCTATTTGTTTGTTTGAATAGCTTAGCCACTAGTTTCAAATCTATTTAGTTGATAAGTGTATAATTCTCAAATTATTATACAATCGAATACCAAAAAGTATATTGTGAATAATTCTACTTCTTCTTACATACATAAGAGCGATTTCATGTCATTTGAAGAATATTCCAATGCTTTGCAGTCATTCACAACATATGATTTGGGACGTACGTATAGAGTAGTCTAGTGTTCTAATATTTCACGAGATTGTATTTAAAAGATTAAAAGCCAGGAAGTGAAAAACTTTAGGTAATATACTTTGAAAAAGATAAATTAATTCAAAGAATGAAAAGTTAGAAATAGTGTTGAAATACAAGATTCAGGGAAAAATAAGAAATTAAACACATGTACGTAACTGTTATCGATTCAGACCATTGATCATCGTAGGTCTCTAACTATAGATTACGACTGTCTCCCCAACATTATATGAGCAGTCTTTACCTTCCAACACATTTCGATCAAAGAGATGTGTTAGCATGTGTTAGCGCCTTCACCGCTCCTAGTTTTTTTCAGACTCAAACCCGCTCATAATGTATCTTGTATAACATGTTGAGTTGAGCGGTGGTTGCATATGTATAACATGTCACAACCACCTTGTTTGATGAGAGTTCACAACCTCATCTTTCGTAAAAGATACTTAGGGTCAGCTTACATTTAGTACCGAGAAGAGAGCGTTTTAGTTTGTTCAGTTAACAACCAAATTTCTACAGTGTCATGTAAGCATTTAAATAATACAGGGAAACGCCATTCATTATTTTATTCCATAGTTTTGTTCTTGATATTTTCGCAATCACTGGGACCTTTACAAATAAGATGTAAATAACTGATAAAACCCATTGAGTTATCAAAGGAAACATGAAGAATATTCGGCTAAGAGATTCTTCATTTTGACAATGGCTTACTGAAACTGTACGATCTTAGTAATAATATATATATATATATATATATATATATATATATATATATATATATATATATATATATATATATATATATATATATATATATATAATGTCTATTAGAAAATACGGTAGAATTGTATCATAAGTTGTTTGAAAATATCGGATATCTGAATGTGTTTATTTATTAGTCTGAAAGTTAACAAGAAGTGATGAGATGAAGATAGTTTGAGGATAATTGTTCACTTGATAGATGTACTTACTTACTTGCGTACGTTTGTCACCCCTTCCGGAGGAGCACAGGCCGCCCACCAGCAATCTCATTCAACCCTATCCGGGCAATCCTTCCCAGTTCTTTCCAGTTGCTATTCATTTTTTTCATATCTGCTTCCAATTTCCGACGTAGTGTGTTCTTCGGCCTTCCTCTTTTCCGTTTCCCTTCAGAATTCCAGGTTAGCGCTTGCCTCGTGATGCGGTTTGTTAGTTTCCGTAGTGTATGTCTTATCCACTTCCAACATCCTTTCCCAATTTCCTTCTCAGCTGGAAGTTGGTTTGTTCTCTCCCACAATAGACTGTTGCTGATGATACCTGGCTAACGGATATGGAGTAACTGTTTATAAATACTTGTACCTTTTTGATGATGTAGTTCTCCACGTTTCTGCTCCATACAGTAGAACTCTTGACGTTCGTATTGAAGGTTGTGACTTTAATATTGGTTGGCAGACAGTTGTTTTGAAATCCATCTCTTCTTCATTTATAGGAATGCGGCCCTTGTTTTGCCAATCCTCGCCATGTCTGACTCCGGTCCTTGCTTGGCATGCATCTGTCAGTTGTCCTCCATGCACGACTTTGCATTGTAGTCAGTCATATAAATTCCGTATAATGTTGAAGATCCTCTGAGGTACTCAATAGTGTGGAAGATGTTTCCATAATATTCTCCTATTCACACTGTCAAACACCTCATAGTCAATGAAGTTGATGTATAGTGATGGGTTTCACTCAACTGGCTGTTCAACAATGATCAGTAGTGTCGCGATTTAGTCTATGCACGACCGATCTTCACGGAATCCATTCTGTTGTTCTCGAAGTTGGGCATCTGCTGATTCTTTCATGCGGTCCAGCAACACTGTAGAAAGCGTTTCCTGGTACCGATAGTAGTGTGCTACGTCTGTAGTTCTCACATATGCTCAGATCTCTTTTCTTTGGTATTTTGATGAAGTATTCTTCTTTCCAGTCTGTCAGTAGCGCTTGTTCTTCCTCCCAAATCTTCCTGAATAGAACTTGGAGTATACTTGCAGTTACTTCATTGTCTGACTTCAGAGCTTGAGCTGGTATATTGTCAGGTTCTGCTGCTTTCTCAATGTTGATTTGTCTGATGGTGTTAGTGGGGCATAGGTCGGATTCAAGCATGTTCCATGCACGATTGCGTTGCTGCACGCTGATTGGCGCTGGTCTATATTTGGAGAGCACTCTAAAATCTCATGTAAAAACTATAAATATATTAACGTTTTTCTTATCGTGTTTCTTACTTCCATTCACCCTTGTTATTTGGAATACGATTTTTTCCTGTTCAACCGTGTTCTGATTCGGGGACTTGTCGAGTGAATTGGTGTCCAAGAATACTAAGCAATAGGAATAGCTGGGTCGTATAGAGATAATTATGACAGATGGTCATCCTGATTTCTTCGGTCGTTGGTGGAGTGACATCCGTAAGAAGGTCTGTATGTGCTGCTTCTATGTCCGGTGGTTTCAACGGAGCTGGTCTGTTCAAGAGCTCCTCCAAGTGTTCTACCCATCCGTTCCCCTATTCTTGAATCTAGGTGGTTGTCTTCCCTTCTTGGCCCTTGACTGGTCTGTCTGTTTTACTATATGTCCCTGCCAGTTTCTTCGTCGTGTCATATAGTTGTTTGATATTCTCTTCTCTTGCAGCCTTATCCGCTGTCGTTGCTATCTCTTCCACGTGTTTCTGCTTGTTTTCTCTGATGCTCCTCTTCACTCTCTTGTTTGCTTCTATGTATTCAGCCTGTGCCTTGACTTTCTCTGCTCTTGTTCGACTGTTGTCAATTGCTGTCTTCTTGTTCTTCCTTTCTTGAATCTTGTCTGGGGTTTTGTTAGAGATCCATTCTTTAAGATTATGCTTCTTGAGACCCAGCACCTTCTGACACGTTGAACTTAGTGCTTTTTTGATCACTTTCCAGTTATGCTCCATCGTAGCTCTTTTCTTTTTCAGTAGGTCCTGTAAGGATTGGAATGTGTTGTCGAGAGTTATCTTGAATTCGTTAAGTTTGTTAGTACCTCATGAGGAGGCTGTAGTGAACATTCCATTAACTTTGTGAGTTTTTTAGTGATGCAAATATGATCGATCTGTTCCTATGTAGTGTGACCCGGTGAGACCCATGTAGCTTCGAGTATGCGTTTGTGAGGGAATATTATGCCGCCTATAATCATTTTATTGGATGCATATAAATTTTCAAATGTGTCACCATTCTCGTCCTTTCCCTCCAGTTAGCTCATATCGTCCCATGATATCTTCATACCTGGTGATGACCTCACGAAATTACGGTTTGATGTAATGCGAACTGCTATTGTAGAATAAACGAAACCTAGAATGTCATTTAACGCGTTAAACTCGAAGCTGAGATATGAAATACAAGACGTTTCAGGGATTTTACGCTTTATTATGTGAAAACATACTGTTTGGTCCCAAACTTATTGTTTCTCATGACGTAATGTTATATAGTTTGAAGATATGCCTGTTAGAAGTAGCCAAGTCATTGAATCTGGTCTAGGACTTGGGACTGGCGGTAACTCTAGTAGAGCTACTAGCGGTTAAGAAAAAATTTGAGTGTTGTTTTAACCAACGCGTTATTCAGTATAGAAAATGATAACAGTGGTTAAGATCACGTGGTAGACCTATTTCTGTCTAGAAACAGTTGCAAGACTTGAGTGTCTCCTGTTTGATCCTTTTCGGTGTTGTTGATGCCAGAGTTTTTTTTATCTGGAACTATACAATTATCTTGTGATCTCCACATTTTACTGTTTCTCCAAATAATATCAGTTCACAGCAATAATCTTCATATACGGGGGCATTTTCAGTTTCTGGTCTATTGTCTACTCTTTGGTATTTTAATTTTGGTATCGTCCATCTTGTCATTCTTTAAGTTTTTTCTTTTTCATAAGATTAATGCACCATTATTACATATTGTTCATTATAAATATCAGCCAACATTGATCTCTGTTTCGGTTACAGCGAAATATTCGTTTTTCAAGCGGTTATTTGTTATATATTCATAAGTCTATAGCTCATGGATCACCTCCAACATAGTTTACATTTTATAATCATGTATTTAGTGAGTGTTTTTTTACTTCATAACCATTTATGACTGTTGTTGTTTATATTTGTATAAACCTAGGCAAAAGAACATTATCTTCATTGATTTTTTTCTTTGCTTCACTAATATTGATCTTATGATGTAACAATGTTATTATCTATTTTCCCTGTTTATAATGTAAGCGATATTTCGAATAAAACGCCATTTTTAATTCATTTTGAAGGCTCAAACACAGTCGACAATATTACCAACACAACTATCATCCCCATCAATTACAGCTACAATAATATTAATAGTACCGTAAACTACATACGAACATGTAGAAGAATCTCATCTCTCGAAGGTACTAATTATTTAATTTGTGTAAACTACCCCCATCGTCTCCATTCAGATTTCGCATGCAATCCTTCTGAAATTTAGTAGTGGTAATAATATTAATATTAATGATAATGTTAACAGAAGTAGAACAAGAAATGACTTGAATTTCAACTATATCTAGTTGATAATATTTAATACCTACTAACATTGTTAGTAATATATTAAAAATATTGATAAGCATCCCATTATCCCTTCTGTCCAATATAGTCGGTTTTCTTTTCTAATTATTGGAAAGCATTTTGGCATGTAAACTCCAGTTGGTTGTGTCTTTGATTTGGTTTCCGACCCCTTCCCATACCTCTCTCTTTCTCATGAATGTGTTATCGCTCGAAAAAAACGAAACTACCAAATAGTATCCGAACATGTATTATCATTTGAGATTTATACATAGCTTGTTATTTTGTATGCTAACAACAATTTCATTGTGATTCCTTTACTACTTTTATCATTTGTTGATTAATCAATCAATTATTTCCATTGAATACTGCAATTTGTTTTGTTTTTGTGTTTTAAACCTCTATTCCTTATAATCTATATGTGCTGTGCTGTAATGTTTCAACATTGGCTTGTCACTTACTCAGCACATGTTAATTAATACTATATATATTATTTTTATACATGACTGTTTCGGTATTCTGTATGTCTACAACTTATGTTTTGAGAGTTTTTTCTAGTGCATCAATTAATACAAAATATATTTTATTTAATTACATCCAAGTGATAGTCTGTATTTGGGGGTTGTTGAACCTCTACAGTAGAAAAGTTGCTTACGCCTTAACCTTCGTACATTATTTAACTAAATAACTGCTAATCCTGTAATTTATCGACGTCATTTAGAAGTCTTAGGTTTGGAAAGTTTATTCCGGCTTTCAACACAAAACGATACAACTAGAACACGGTGTACAGAGCTAATCCATATTATTTAGCAGACAATTATGGTATATGTGAATGAAGTTATCAAATAATTAAACATTTATTCCCTAAACTGGTAAGATAAATAAATGTTTAAGCTAAAATATACTAATTCGACCCGTGGAGATGTATTTAGAAATACTGGCAAATCATCATGACCTAAAATATCACTTTGTCTACCTAGATGGTTAATTTAAAGGTTTAAATGATCTAGACGTATAAAAACCTATGTGAGCTTGATTTACTATTATACGTCACAGTTTACATTGTGGACTGATCTTTATTAAATGAATACTAACAAAACACTTTGTTCTCATCCAGTCAATGACGTAAATCATGAAAATAACTTTATCTTTATTGACGTTTTATGCGCATATGCACAAATAAATAAATGTTTCCATATTGTTCTTTTCTATTGTTTACGTTAGTTATTTTAGTGCTTGAGTCCTTTGAACTTTGTTGATTAGTTATGTAAATATTTCATTATTAAACTTGGCAGGTAAATTTGTCTAAGATAGTAAAGCTCATTCAATCAATTCAAGAAAATTTATTTTCTACTGTCTTACAATCTATACCCGTTATTACCAGAATAACACACTATATAATATTTCAATCGTAAAACATATGTGAGTATTACATAAAGTAAACGAATGAATATTCTATTTCGTAAGAACACGCTAAAAGCATTTAATTTAGATTGATTTTCACAATTGATTGATCACTGGGTGGTGATCAATGTCATGCTTGTCTAGTCCTTATTAGTGCAGATCGAATGCTATCGATCGTGTTGCAATGTGGCCACCAGTCTAGGTGACTCGACACTGCGGGCACTATGTATTGAGATTTAGATGGTGGTTGGAGGTAGTCAACAGGGTTTCCTGTTGACTACCTCCAACCACCATTTAAATTAGATTGATTTTGCTTCTCGATATAAAACTAATCATACATCATTACTATTAAAAGTTCTCGTAGTATTTATTCAGATTAAAAAGCAATTTTATATATTATTCAAGTTTTAAGTACTATTTTAAATTTCACTAAAGATAGTTAGTTGACACATCTCTATACACATTATTCAAAATATAATGTCAAATCATTTTGAGACATATAGCTATTCACTTGAAAATATTTCTTGACTTGCATTCGTATCTTACGGTAAGCATCAATTCTCCGATGATTGTAACTATATCTTAGTTTGTTGAAAAATCTTAGCTAATACAGACTTTAAATCCAGGGTCTTATACTAAATGCTTAAGGTAAATTGTACCACAATATCGGTTCATTTTATCTGATGATCACATTGTAATTTAACTGATAGGATTCGGTCAATAATGATAGCTATATTATCGGTTACTAATTTGTTACCAATCCCTGTATGTTGTCTTATTTTGGATTTCTAAAAGAAATATCTATTCATGGTACGAGTGTAAGGTAATTGCAAATCGGAACAACTAGACAAAAACAATTAATTTCATGATATATTGAATACTGATGACAGTATTTAACCTTGTGACAAAGCATCTGTTAATGGTGAGTTTCTTAAAATTCTCAATTCTGAAATCATAATTTTGTTCTTCACTAGGGCTTCTGTTGATTTTAAGAAATGGAATTTGATAATCTTTATTATTGTGAGATCTTCAAGGTCTTTGGTTAGATCCTCAGTAGGGTCAAGGATGTGTATTGCTAGGGAGTCATACACTAGAATGAAACATTTGTTTAATGCTTCGTGGTTTTCAAATAGTTATTTAACTAAAATCAATTCTTAATGCAAGTTATATGCAAGTTGTGTCCATCAGTCCGTTCAGAATTAGGGATTAAATGGTTGTGGTTAGTTTGAAGGGTTGAATGCTCAAGCGTCAAGGTTTACCATAATTTTTCGCACATAAATCAATAAACAAATGAATTATAAGTGGATATATAAGAGTTTTTCTGTATTTATCTTTTGCTTATTCCATCATTGTATGGGAGTTTACAGATTCTCATTTCAAAATAGGTTAACTTTTAGAAATGCATATTTAAAAAAACGTTTGAATACTACATTAGTGGTTACCTTAATTATGGTGTTGTATATATTGTGTGTATCTTATAAGAAGGAGCGTCCCATTTTTTATCAAGCATTTCATCTTTATCTCTTAAATACTATGAAACTTATGTTCTATGTCTGATCTGATTTTATCCTGTTACTTAAACGCAATAGACGAATTTAGAACTAGTATTTCCATTTTATTATCAAAACACTGTGAAGTATGAACTAATCGGTGCAAACAAATCAACAAACCATAATATAATTATTTTTATTAATACCATTATTATTAATGTGAATTAGTCAGATTCTACATAGATGTTGATTAAAAAAGCTCGAACGTCTACCAACTCTTGGTTTAAATCAAATATTTATATTCTTTAAAATTATCCTCTCTCTTGAATTAATTACTGTTTGGTATAAGTAATTCTGGAAAGTTTTCATACTAAAATTTATCATTACAAACCAAAATTTCATAGCAATACACATTTTCACTTGTCAACTGCTTATACAAGGCTACATGTAGTGTTAACTCTGTGAGCTTAAGGTAATTTCATGTTTCAGATATTATTGATACTTTTTCATTGATATCATCTACGAAACTGTTGATTGTATTTGTTGTATCCAACAATTAAGCTTACTACTAGACTTTTAAAAGCATGTTACCCCACAAAAACCCCGGTCTGCTTTCTAACATTGAAATTTATATATTTCTGTTTATCTCTTTTTATAGGTATATGTTACTCATATGACAAATACTTCCATTCAACTATTCTCTCCATGTCTATCTACATAACAATTATTGTTTGCTCATCCTAGACTTTATGTGTATAAGAGCGTTTGCGTTAACTGATTCCTACAAATAAGTCATTTTTACTTACTTGTTTTTATTTCACCTCACGGAGACTGAAAACTGATTGTTTTTTAAAACACTGGCTAATTCCTATCTTTTAGATCATCCAATTCATCCTCCTGGGAAAACTGGTGATCCTTTCGAGATAGACTATTGGCCTGAACCATTAGACGTTAAAATGGAATTTCGCAAGGGTATAATGCACATCGAAACATTGTCTGATTCACCAGACAGAAACCAGGGGAATTTAATAAATGGGACATCAGAACATAATCATAATAATGAAACTGATGTTGATCAACCTATGAAAAAAGATCTACCAGAATTCACTATACCATCTCTACAGACATTCTTCTCAGACTTCGATACAATACGTACATTTGTAGGAGATGGTCCATTGAAGTCATTCTGTTATCGTCGACTGACTTACTTGGCTTCAAAATTTCAATTGCATTCATTGTTGAATGAAGCTCGGGAATCATTTGAGCAAAAACGTGTATCACATCGTGATTTTTATAATATTCGAAAGGTAAATTACTTCAAATTATCAATAAACACTTTTTCTTCTGTGAAATTCACCTAAGCACTTTCGGTTAATGTTGTATGATTTTTCCAAGTTGCTCTATTTATGGTTTATAACGTAAACTGACCTCGGTTAGGTAATCATTAGGATCTATGAAGCACTAGACAGCTGTTTTGTCTTAATATAAAATTTTTCAGCAGTGCTCATCCATTTTACTTCTTGCAATTTAAAAAAAGCTTGAAGACTAAAAGAGCTCCAGTGAACTATTGCTTGATAGAGTACTTGAAAAGAAAAACAAACATTGTTTTATTTTCCCTACATGAAGTCTTGAAAACAGAATAACTGTAGTTCATAATAAAAAAGGTTACCTTGATTTTTTTATTCGCTACAGACTCCTTACAAAAGAAGTGATATATATATTTTTTAGATAATTTTCATTATGAATTGAAATCAAATGCAAAATCATTGAAAGTTATCCACAACAGTAAAGAAATGTTTTGTCTACTACACCACATAAGATCCAATACAACACTACGACATCATTCAATCATTCATTTAAATTCCAATGTCCCACATTTTCAAATTTTTGTTACTTTTGGGATATGAATAGGTGGTAGGTTACCATCGATTTTTATCACCACCTCTAGTATATCTTCCTCATATTTTTTCTTTCCCTTTATGAAGTGAACGACGAATCTATTTACAATCGCTATTCTGTTTAAGCTAATTGTTCAACTATATTACTAGTAATTTATTCACTGTCTTATGTTACTAAGCCAAATCTTCTCACATAAGCATACACATATAAATTATGGTAAAGTACATATGTGTTCATACATAGAATGGGCAATCAAAAGAGTAGGTAGATTTTTTATTTCCTTATTGATTAATAAGTTAAAATTTAGAATATCTTTCTTTATCTAGGTCAACTGAGATTGTCTTTAAATGGTTGTTTTTCTTTAATTTTAACCAATAATTTAAATTTACGTTATTGTTTTTTATTAGGTTTATAAAATCAAAATAAGAAGTTCCTACTAACTTAACGGTGTTTACCGTAAAGGATTATCGTTCGTTGTGATTAAAAACATTTATATTATCATAGCCTTATTTCAATAGGTTAGAAGAAAGTTGGAAGTGGACAAATAGGTACATGTCATCAGTCTGTGAAGTCATTGAGAATTGAACTGAGCCGTTTTTATACATATAGATTACTTGATTGAGGTCCGCATGGTTATCAACAATGTTTGGAGACTTTGAATGGCATGGTTTAAAATCGTTTGCTATGGCGCAGGTGCATTCGTTCTTTGCCTACCCTCGAATTCTGAGCTTCTGGATTTCACTAATTTATGTTTTCTTGAATCATATTTTTGATGCTTAATCCTTCCTCTTATCACTGATACTGTTACTACCTCTACTATTCTAGAATCTGTCCTGTTTCGTTTTTTGCACCAATGAGATATGGCTACTTGGACCGATCTACATACGTACTAGGTTCTAAGTTGCGGATAACTGTCTCCCTTGTTGGTTAAAACACATTCAATTTTCAACAATTGGGTTATAGTCTCAAACCATCGTAATTCAAATTAACTGTCCAGGTTGTATTTGGTGATAGTATATGAACAGTACAGTGGTAACATTAGTGTCTACGTTACTTGGCGACTAGTTCAGATCTTTAGTAGATTACAATTTAATATTTTTACATTGCAATTTTATAAAGGGCTAATAATTAGGGAATTGTGTGCATGGTTCTCCTTTGCATATCGTTTAAGACTGCATTTTCTGTTTTGATTTTGAAGTTGAACTGAAGATAAGAAAATTAATAGGATTAGTTATTAAATTAGTAAATTTCATTGCTTTTTATGTATTCTGTAGCGATGCTTTGAGGTATCTCCATATTTTAGCTAGAATATGCTAATATTAATCTACCAGTCAGTATTGTTATAGAATGCAATCATTTCAGGGAAAAAATTTTATTTTCTAAACTTTGGATTTAAACTGATAACGAAAGCTATCACATTTCATCTCCCTCTCCTTGTGATGGAGTTTTGTTCTCTGAGCTGCATGGTTTGATCGTGGAGCTTTCATCGTTCTTCTGAACGACATCATGAGCATAAAATTCAGATAGAAGTGAATTGTTCGGATTTCTCCATATGCGTTTCACAGCTTGTTCTGTACACCTCGATGTTGATTGGTTCTTATTGAACTTACATTTGTCATTGTTTACTTCTTTGCTTTGGTTGTATCTCCCATTGGTTTGATTTTTGTTCCTATATTTGTGCATAATTTTCCCGACTAGTTGATAAATTGGATTGATTTAAATATGCTTGTTGATTGCTGATTGACCTGAATGCCAGGCTTCTAAAAATTCTCTGGTGTTTTTGGAATTTCCTCTGTCCAAGATTTCCACATTTTTCCAATCGAATGAGTATCCGCAGTTGTCCACGTGTATTGATATAAGTGATGAGATATCATGGCATGTGACTGCTAATTGATGTTCATGCAGGCGCCACCATTTCAACTTCCTCTCTCCACCTGCCTACACTTTGTATAAGAGCTAGTGATATTAACCACTCACTTAAATAAATATAAAGTTTGAATCATCAATCGATTATCACTACACTTTATTAAGTTGATAATTGCTTATATCCATTACTTATTCGTGATCTAACTTAATAAAACCAACAGAATAATGTTTTGCTTCTCTGAAACAACTTTTTCTTTCTGTTCATCCGTTTCATATTACTTCAGTTTTATTTCTATTATAATCTATTCAATTCACATTGATATATTGAACTATAAGCCTAATCGTTTATAGTAACAATAAAAAAAAGAGATTATTTTCATAGGTGTTTTAATTTTGTAATCAATTAAGTTGTTTTTCATAAATTTTATAATAAGTATTTTATACTTATTATGATCTAACATTTCATTTATTGATTTTATTTCAGGTTGATACTCATATACATGCATCATCATGTATGAATCAAAAACATTTACTACGTTTTATCAAGAAAACAATTCGTACTAAATCAGATGTTTATGTATGTGAAGATCCAAAAACTAAAAAGCCTATGACATTAAGTGAAGTAAGTCATAGGATTATTACCTATTCTGTCTATTCTATGTCATTATAAGTAAATGGTTATAAGTTAGTGTAATTGTAATCAATAAATTAATATTCTGCTCAATAGTTTGTATAGATTTGTTTAGTGTGGAAATAATTTTTGTAACGGATTAAGATTAACTGTAAAATTAGGGAACATTGGTTTCTTTTGTGTGTGTGTGTGTATCACAGATCTGTTTTGTAGACTCCTGAACTATAACAAATCACCAATCATTGGTCGCGTATTGTTGAGATTAGATACAGTATACTAGGTGATAAGTTAATAAGAATGTGAATCTTTATCTACCCATGTATTAAGTATTCATAACCGTCACGTAACTCAATGTACAACGTTGTCCGGTGTAGGAATAAGTTGGAACAAAACTAATGATCAGAATGTAGTAGCAGTCCATGGAGTTAGTGACTGTTGAGTTAAGCCATATTGGTAGGTTCAGACTATCTGAATGGAATTCACTTGATTATCGGGATCGGTGTTTGGAAGTATTGGTTGACAATTCACAGTCGGTCGTGATAGAGCATATATACTCACTGTTTACCTTATCTTAGGTTATAAGTTTCAAAAATGGTTTAATACCTTTCGTAAATAAATTCATTCTTTTTGAATAATATTCTCTACACCCAATATTTTTACTGTTACTGATATTATTCCTAATACTAAGGCATACTACGGCTTTGGTATTCAGTTCGTAATCAGTATTACATTAGACTGCACATACAAGTTTACTTTCTGTAAACGGTACATTCCAGTGAGCAATTTGTTAGAGTTCATTCACATGCTTATTTTAAATTTTTTAAAACGTAATTGAAGTGATTCTTACATTTAATTTGCTTACTAAAGATAAGTAGATTTGCGGATACAATAACGCTTTTGTGACAACTACAAACTTTCTGAATATTTTTAAGATGTCGTCAAATCTGGGAAATTTCTATATTTCTGAAATAATTATCGACAGTGTAGATGATTTATCCCGCTATTTTTATGCATTTCATTAAGAACAACTGATGTAAACCTTGAAACTATTATATTTTTATTTACGCCAGTAAATAGTTGTCTTTCTTTGTGAATACTGAAGATACGTGGTTTTTGAAACACTAGTAAGTGAAAAAGATTGTAATGGGTTGTAAATAGAATATACACATATATAAATAAAGTGGTCTACCGACTTACCAATTGGACAGTCAACATAGCTACCATGTGTCTTCAACAAATTCTTCACCTAATGGTTTACTAACATTGATTTCTCATGTTTGCTACATGTAATCTAAATATAGGTTGGTTAAAAACATTCTATATTGTTACTAATTTAGTAAATGATAGCTATTCATTGTTATAGATTAAGTATTGTCTTTTAAAAATTCTACAAATTAGAAACAGGAGAGACATCATACGTTATTATTAGATTAATCTATTCAGTCATAAAATAAATCGTGTTGCACTTTAATGTCGAGGTGTTCGTGTGAATTCTTACCGATTCTTCCAAATGATATGTTATTACGTATATATATTTTTTTGAAATGCAGTGAATGTACTTCAAGTTACGTTGATTTCCCATATGAATAAATTTTCGAATAATTATTTGAATGTTCCATTGTTTACGAGGTCAAACTTATTATCAAACATTCAGTCAATTGGGTGTTTCTCAATTTTTATTTGTTAAAAAAAATCGAATCAGATACATTATATGCTAGAAAGTCAAAATTATTGTGCTCTTTCAAATAACTGGGCGTTTCTCATATTTTATTTTATATATAAGGAATATATAAGTAGGAAGTTGCTTGAATAAATTCTCATAAGCTAGAAAGTACTTACATTTTATGTAATATTGTTGTTCAATATCTGCCTGAATTATGCAGTGGATTAGTGGGATAATAGCAAATAGAAACCTTTTAGATAGTGAGTAGTTATTCTCCTCCATCTTATCTTATGTCACACCTAGCCTGTGACTGTAAAAGTCAATTATTTGATCGAAAAAATATGATATGCAACAGTATATACATTTCTAACCATTATATAACAGTATGAAAATAATTGAAACTGATATGAGTCTTGTTATTATAATATAAACTACTCGGTATAAAATGTTCAAATTATGTAAAAATATGGATTAAAATAGGAACTACTGGAATTTTTATTTTATCAATAGATAACTGTATTAATGAGTTAGATACATTCATGATTATTTAATTTTTATGATTAATTTTTAACTGGAGATTATCGACTAATGAACACTGAACTAACATCTAGTAAACTAATAATTGTACATTTCATACAATTCATCAAGCTATTTGCTCTAAAAATAGTGATTTAATAAAACAGAAATGTTGTGGATTGTACGCTTTAACAAAATGTTTTTTAGTCACTGGTATAGCTGGCGCGTTCCTTTATGTAGTTGATAATACCAAGTGTTTTGTTTCTGATTACATCTCAAGTCATTTCGTCTTTTAAACTCATTGTATATATCAAGGTGAAGGATATTTATGCACTATTAGGTGTAAAGTTTGAGACATGTTCCATCCTTATGGTTTTTAGCAGCCGAATCGTATCATTAGCAATTCATACGGGATCGATGTCATAGCATAGAGTGCATAAGTGTTTACTTCAGTGATGAGTAAACTTCCTTAATCAGGGGTCACATCAATGCAAATACGACTTACGTCGTCAACGGGTTCATACACACAAAATAACATCAAGATGATATTTTGTCTGTGTTTTTGTTGTTGTATTTTTTAAAAAAGAAACTGACTTATTATCTCAGCTTTTTATACATCTTAATTTCCTGTTAACGCTAGCGAGAAAATTACTTATCTGACCGGTTTTCTTGAAACATTCTACATTCACCTTCGGTGATATCGATTTCTTTATTTTCATTGATTTCTGAAAAAAATATTTCTGAATAAAATCAAAATTTTCTGTAAAGAGATAAAGTAGTTCTGAAGTCATTTAATGCAACCAAATGTGATATAAATAAGTACGCTAGCGGTTCGTTTATTTAGTTTCATTTTTTAAGTAATTGAGAACAATATTAGCCAAATATAAGTATTGTTTTAAAATGATATAACACTTGATGAATAATAATTAGGACATTGTATGGACTTATTTTAATTCAATTACAGAATAGCTGTCATAGTAGGGTTATCTAACATACAACACGATAAACTACAATGTATAACTAAGGTTAGGTCTATGTTAACAAGATTATTCTCTTTCTACACTTTACACACATGTAGATAGTTCACTGCTCTGACCATGGATATTTAGAGCACGATGTTAATGTAAAGTACCATGTCTCCTGAGAATATTTTCAAATCATTTTACTCCTAATCACTGTGATTACACTTTTCGCTAGGAATGGTTTGCTTACCCGTAATTATACTTAATTCTTGAGTTGAATTATTCTTTTTATTATAATTTATTTTGCATATCAAAAACACATTGTCTTCACAATGAGTGCAAGAAATATCACACTAGATGTGTCGACAAAATTATTGATCGCCTGTTTTTTTTTCTTCATTGAATTGTAATTGTTTTGTTTGTTATTTCATGCTTTTATTTTACAGTTGATTGATAAAATTGGGATTACACTTTACGATTTAAATATTGACAATTTGGATGTCCACGCTGTAAGTCTAAGGTTCAACATATTTAAAAGTTATTGTCTTGCATGTTTTTTACAATATACTGGAAGGAGATTATACTTTCTCCTTAAAAAATATTTAAAATTTATAGTTGGATTTTAGGTGGAAATGTTTGGCTTACAAAAACTACCTCACTGGAGTGTCTTCAATGAGTATATAGTTGTTTGAGTGACGTAAACATTTAACTGTTACTATTAAATTAATGGGTGTTATCATATCTACGCTTTAAAATGGTTTATCAACATATTTCTATGCAAATGATACTTTTGAATATAGTTAGTTAGTGAATCAGTCAGCCATCATCAACATATAAATTGACAATTAAGCCATAGTTCACTAAAATGCAATCCATTGAAAATATATCAAGAACAGTTTATCAAGTTATTTATTTTTATAAATTTCAATCACAGTGATGAGTAATTGACTCTGAATGACTTCAACTGAGTTGGATTTGCCACTGATTAACCCGTAATCCACTATATGAACACAATTTGCAAATATCTTAAGACTGAAAGATTACAAATTACATAGATAATCAGTGAACTGTGGCGCATTCCTTCTCTCATTCCTATCAGATTAATACAGTTCGAAAATGAATAAATCAGGAGAAAAAGATTTTTAAAAAAAGACTTTTCACTCAAAATTTAAAGTAAAAGATCGGATATAACTGCTTTGTTGTGATTCATATTGTTCCATTTCATTCTGACTCTCTAACTATAAATGACAACTATTACGTGGACTTAAACCTAGAAGTTCTCGTCTACCTTCATAGATCAAATCGACAGTTGATGAATTAACAGATTAATACCATGTCTAGATCCTCCTCCTTTAACTATTTTTCAACTTGCTACTATGTCAGCTATTATTGTTCATCGGGATAGATGATGTCTGGTGGTGTGTAGCACATGCTCTAACTATCTCAGTTGATGTACGTTTATGGTTTTATCAATCGATTTTTCCTCCTGCCATAGTGACCTACACCTAACCGCATCGATGTAACGTGTAAACGAATATTTTTAGCCTATGTGTATCTTCTGCTTTCATAAGTCATATTTCACGACCTTAAAGAGTTTCAACGATTTAAACTTTAGTGTAGTATGAAAAACGTACGTGAATAAGTCATGTTACTTGATTTATAATTTCTAAGATGACAGGTTTTTATGAAGGCCGTATAAATCCATAACTTATTATCCTATCTCATTCGCAGTCTTCATTCTTTATCACTATTCCAGTTTATCCTTTATTTATAAAATCGTATGAAATCGAATTTCTAGTTAATTTATCGTATAAATTCGCCCAATTATATCATAAAATCATTATTACTATGAGATTTACTAAGCTGGATATAATATCACCGTATGTGTAGGCTTTCTATGATTTCAAGTTGCTCACCTTGTTATTTATAGTTTGTGAATTCATAGTGTTGTTAAATAGCTAAAATAAAGGTTCGTCGATTGTATAGATAATATTGCTGTGTATAATTTACACTAAAACGACGGTATATGCGTGCTAGTTGTGTATGCGTCATTAAAAAGTATCATTCTGCTATAAAGTATATGGTTACACTTTTTTAAATCATGATTTTTTGGCTTTCATAAAAAAATTAGGAATTTGTCTCATTATGAGAAAGAATTTGAATTATTCAATTGCTAATATTTTAAACTGAATTTGAATCGGTCTTTGTTGAGATACGTGTGTATCCTGCGTGGATTACATCGATGTAGCCATTTAATATTTAATCACAAGTTTTTTCTATGGAATAGATAGATTATTGTTACCAGTGAGACCTGGGAAGTATGTTTTTCTTTATTTAGCACTCGTTAACGGCATTTCAGCGGGACTCGAACCTTGTGTATTTCACTTATACGCTATCCACTGAATTCAAATAGCCACGAACTTGTTTAACAGGACGATATTTTTTATTTGCATAAAAAAGGCTTTGAACTGTCCTGTTGCTGATATTTCTGATTGAATTCTGATTAGTTTTTGTTGGCTAATGTGCATCTTGTGCGGAGTGCCGTTACATAGCCACTACTAGCTACAATCCACCTGTTCTTTAAAAACAATGACTAAACTAAACATATCCATTCACTGTTCATCAATTCTCTCTACTATATTGATTAATCCAAATGTCGATTACACTCGTGTTCGATTATTTGTTAATTATTTTTTTATTGATTTGCAATATGATATCAATAATTAAAAGATTTGTTTTCAACTACGTGAATTATACTACTCTCGTAACAAGAGTAGTACTAATACATACGTGTTAACCTGACAGCTATGTAGCTGATCTGAAATAAATAAATACTTAAGCAAAACTTGTTAACAATTGAACTTAATTGATTGAGTTGCCGTAAATCCTTTGTACTAAGTTAGTGATGACTGTTGGTGCAATAAGATTAAGAAGAGAATGAACGTCTACTTTCCTAAGTGATGTGTGGATGTGTTAGTGTCTTGTAACTCACTATTTGTAGAGTATAGGGACTGGTGAATAGACCCAAAGTGCGTTATATGTAAATATATCATAAAAGATTTATTTGACGAAAAAATTATATATTGACTAAATTTTGTTATATTTTTGTCTCCTATATATCAATTCCCAAACAAAATGTATCAGTTAATGGAACCCTGAACCATTAGTCATATTTCAGCCTATTTCTTCTAATGTTACATCTCATCCCTTTAGCTTAACTCATAACTATCTTTTCGAATAGTTTTCAATATAAACTCATAGATCTGTGAAGCTAAAACCTAACTATTAGATTCACTTATTGTTCCACTTTATATCAACTTGATGAATGTTCTCAGTTCTAATTGAAGAATTGAATTTGTCAACTGACATTATGTCTTTCAAATCAAATGAACATACATGTTAAAAATGTGTTTCAAGTTACCTATGATAAAGTGATGAGTCATTTAGACTCAGTGAGAAAGCTAAGTTCAAATGTTTTCTTAGTCTGAACTTTAACCTTTCTTGAATCCATTGTTCTTTGTTTGATAAATGAACATATTCGAATGAATGTAGTCTATTTTCTTTACTTGTAGGAAGGCGGAAATTATTATAATAGTTGAATCGTTTTTAAGTTTTAAGTATGCAGTTCGTTTTAGAAGGTTGATTCGTTGTATCAAATAGATTTTAAAAACTATGTATGGGTATAAATTAACTAGATAATTTCATTTCGAAATCTATCTGACAGATTGTTTAAGGCAAATATATATTGATGTTTTGCTTTCTATATAAACGTAGAATTTCTTAAACAAATATACATTTTTTTTCGGTATTTACGTAGTCATCTAAATATCTGACTTCACATAGCGAACCATTGTAAAGTAAGCAGTATTGAGATAGATTTTTCTCAGTGAGTAGTAACTTGTCGTTCGTATTATAAATTTATTACAACTAAGTATGAAAAGTTATTTGCCAACTCAATGATTTACAGCTTTTTTACTCAAAATAAGACCTGTAAGTCCTAAGTTCTATCCTGTGTATAGTTGTGAATGCTCACAATGGAAAAGTTCTGAGCTTGAAAAACAAAACCACCAATCTCTATAGCTCTTTAAAATAGCAGTAATCATATGCTTACTATTTGCTGACGAAATGTGACTCACTAGGTTCTAATGAGCCTTAATGAGGTTCAACCATGTAGAAGTTTAGACAAATATCACCAATGGCAATTAATAATATTGGTGTTATATAGCTTACCTACGAAAGATAGGTATGTAAACCATTAGATACCGAATCAGTATTATATTATAAATTCATTTAATATTCAAGCAACTATTTAGTTGTGAAAAGGATCAAACTCCCTTCAGTTCATCAATTTCAAGTTATTTAGTACACACCAATTTATATTACGATTTTTCTAGTTTCTATATGAACTGTTCAAGAAAGAGCTCTATTGAAGTCACTTACATATAACTAAAATGTAGTGTGAAACTACAAACCAAACATACTTTCGAGTGAAAAAATAGATTACATGTAAATTTTCATTAAAAAAACAAGGATGAAATTCGAAACTATCTAGAACTTGGAAGCATTAGATAACTGCTTCAAGTGATAAAAATCTTTGAGATCTTGAAAGTCATCTCTTGTAAAATCAATAAAATTTAAAGCTTTAGTAAGTAATTAGTGAAAGCGCTGTAATTCATTAACATCGTACTTAGAATTGCTTTAGATTCGAATAATATTTTTCCACTTCAGTTTTTCCTTACGGACTCGACATTATAATTAAACCGAAGTATTAGTGTGGCTACTTGTTATGACCTCTTGCTCCCTTTTACAACGGAACAAGAATAATATATATCTCGATGCAAAATAGCAAACAAGATCGCAAATGAAGGTTCATCATATACCACAAACAAACTGCACAACAGTTACAATCACTTACCCAATATAACTTAAAAAAAATGCATGGTTTACGTATCTGGTCAATAGTCAATTTCAAACACTTCGAACTAAGCAGTACTTGACAAAAATCAATTTGTTAATGCATTTTATGACATCAGTGGATTCAACTGCTTTAAATAAGAAACATAACAAAGTTACTAGATCATAAATTTGCTACTTTCCAACACTATCTAAATATATATGGTTTACATTAATAAAATGATACTAATCGAGTAATAACAATCTCGGAAGTGATTATTAAAGTAACTTCAATTAGTTAACTGAGTAATTAAAAGGAGGACATGTTAATAAGCAATTATAAAATTTAAAAACGTAATTAGGCAGTTGTCAGATTGCATATTATGTAATAAATGAATTAACAAAATACTCTGTTAATAGGTTAATTTTAAAGTAGTTACCTAAGAATCAGGAGACTGATACTAACATAGTGTAAGAACACTAAAATGAAAGAAATTTAGAAAGTTTTGAAAGACTTCTGTATTGAAGCTCAGCTATAAACTACTTCATTATCTCTGACCAAGGTGGAAAGAAAGGTTTTATTCTGACAATTGATCACAGTGAAGACTGCCAATTCGTTTTGAACATTGGTGAAGCTAGGAACTATTGCTTTTTCATTATTCTAGAGTTATTAAAGCTTTAATTTTTCTTCAGATAACTCATTTTCCTGAGAACCAGTGATCTGAAAACACGATATCATCTACTTTAGTCGAAGATTGCAATCACCGATCACTATAATTATCGTAAATCACTTTCGTCTGGGTAAAAAATTCCAGTTTCATTCTTTATTTGACCTTAATGGTTGCACGTCTCTACCATGAAAACCAAACCTAAAAACTAATAATAATTGCTTCATATTTTACCTATATAAATATACCTAAATACACAATAATAGCATATCATGGGGTGAATAAGTGTTTCTCTCTGCTTAATTTTTTATTAAATGTCTAGCTTGTTATTCTTTGTTACACCATTTCCTAATTTTTTTACTTCTGAAAAATGACGATTGGTTCGGTTTTTATTATTAAGTCACATGATTTGGTCTACACTAAATCGTAGACATTACTGTCGAACTAAACGTATTATTGATATTTAAACAAGACATACCACTGTTCATTAGTTTGACAGTTTTTCTTAGTATATCATGTGTTTATTGTCTGATTCCTCTGACAGACATACTTAGCAAATCAAATATTATCGTGATGCAAATGTGACTAGAAACAACTTAATTTTGTGGACGAGACTATTAGGTGTACCTGTTTATTGTTGTTTATCCCTCACTGAAGTTAGTACAGTCGCATTGTGATGTTAATTTTCATTACGAAGAGGTTTGTTGCTCTCACCTTAGCTTGTGTACTGGGACTGTAGAAAATGATTCATACAATATTAATATAAATAATTATTATCCCTTTTTTGCATGTCACTGTTATCATCCACATAGTAGTTTAAGTGATTATTTTTCCAGGTTTTTTGCTCTAACGCATAACTGTATCTAACTTTTGACTGAATATTTTTGTTAACCATAAGGATCGTAACACTTTTCATCGATTCGATAAATTCAACGCTAAATACAATCCCATTGGTCAAAGTCAACTACGTGAAGTGTTTTTGAAGACGGACAACTACATTAAAGGCGTTTTCTTTGCACATGTTCTGAAGGTAAATTTGTTTTTATTATTATCCTATCGTCTGTTTAGTTTTTACTCATTCAGGTTAAATTTATTCAAATAAATAATTAATAACACTTTTGTATTTGTAAAGATAATACTTATCTTGTATAACACAATTACTATAAGATAATCTTAATATTATGCCCTATTTGTTGAATAAACTTTATCATAATTTATTTAAGCACAAACCTATTACTGTTGGGGATGTTAGATCCCCAGAACTCACTTGGTAAGTGCCTTAATTTTATAATTTTATTTTGGAAATTTAAATTTCCTTGCTTTCGCACCAAAAGCTCACTTTTCACCTTCATGTCATATTTCCCACTTGGGAAAATTTTTAACGCTATTGGTTCTTTGTTTATTTTTAGTATGCTATTTTTACAACGCTTCCCAAGGACAGTTTTATGCTCTATATATACGTGTCTGTTATGATTCACTCGTGCTTCTGGGGTGGGACGCATCGAATAGCTAGCTTATTGGTCTACGGTCACCAGTCTTTGTTCCGTTCGCATACTAAGTGAACTCGTAATAGCTTCAAACCTAGCAATTACTCATCAAATAAATACCAAGATGATTTACCATTGAAAGTAGTGTGATAATATTATACTAAATTAGGAGAAACTTTCTTTTAAGTTATAATTTTTTACGTAAGAGGCGAAGGGAAATTGTATCAAAGGGCACTAATTTGAAACCTTGAATACCACATCCTGAATTCTCAACTCTTTTCCAATTTCACCTTATAGGTCACAAACACTTGGATTTGGCAACCATTAAATTTTCCATTTTATTGTCATTTCTGTGGTTGGATTTATACATATATATAACATACTTTTTAAGCTTTGATATCATTCCGCTAGTGTTTCACTATTAACCCATATAACCTCGTAGAGTCCAATATGGCGTAGTTGATATGTTGACTTAGGTCTAGTGTATTTATCTCTTTGATGTTTCATTGTTTTATCGTTCTTCTTCCTATGACTTGCAGTACCAGTGACTGCTCAACGACACTTCAAACAATATCTTCGTTCTATCCTTCGACTCAACTTCTGCAAACCACAAATATTGAAAGGAACATTTATTTGGTAAAGATGACAGTAGTGTCAAGTATATTTGAGTTTATTCAGTTGTATACTGATTAAGTGATTGTTAGATACAGAAATTGTTAATCTTAATAGTTAGCATTTAAATACGAAATTAAAGGATATTAATTAATATCATAAAGATAAATTGAAAATTAAATAAATAGACCTTACAGTAATTGACTTATTATTGAACAGAAATTGTCTTACATATCGACATGTAGATTTTATGTTTAATGTCTTTATTAAAGCAATTAGCATTTTTAACGTCATTTTATGATCATTACTATACTTTGGTCCATGATCTTGCACAACGCTTCATTCATTATCTGAGTTGGATAGCTGTCTCACCCCCCAAACGGATTGGTCTCTACTGATCACGACTTCTCTCTAGAAATCCAGGATTTCGATCTTGAAGCTGGTCACTAGTGTGCACATGATTATTATCATTATGGGGATTTGTGGAAATTGCAGTATTTTCAAAGCTGAATTCACGAGTCCATCTAAGCCAGACCACCATCAGAAACCTGGAAGCGCTGGATAACCGTTCCATCCTAGTATGGGACTCCTTAGCAGTGCGCATTCACGATCTCACACACAGGACTGGAGCCCGAGATCCTTGGGTCTCGTGTGCGAACACCTAACCTCTAGACCACTGAGCCAGCATCCAACTACAATCTCCACAAATCCTCGTTATGATAATAAATATTATTGTGATCATGAACCGATTGATGTTAGACCACCACTGAAAACCTGTAAGCACTGGACGGCCGTTTCGTACTATTGTGGGACTCCTCAGCGGTGCGCATCCACGATCCCGCTCGCGGTATTCGGACTCAGGGCCTTCAGTCTCGCGCGCGAACGCGTGACTGATAATAAATATTATATTTTACTATTGAAGTTTCATGTCAATTATTTAATCGAATAAACTTTATTTGTGGTTGAGATCATGAATCAATTGATGTTAGACCACCGTTGGAAACCTGGAAGCACTGGACGGCCGTTTCGTCCTAGTATGGGACTCCTCAGCAGTGCGCATCCACGATCCCGCGAGCGGGATTCGAACCCAGGACCTACTGGCTCGCGGGATCGTGGATGCGCACTGCTGAGGAGTCCCATACTAGGACGAAACGGCCGTCCAGTGCTTCCAGGTTTCCAACGGTGGTCTAACATCAATTGATTCATGATCTCAACCAAAAATCTTAACAATCTCCACAACCCTCATACTGATAACTTTATTTGTGTTGCATTACACTATTGTTTCATCTTTGTTTAGTTCTCCTTTTGAATAGTTTATACTTTCAATCATTTTCATATTGAAAATTCCAGTCATAAAGTGTCCCAGTCATAATTTCAATGTTAATCCTTATTGAATTAGAAAGTTACAATTTAAATTCGTTAGTACTGGCAATAATTACTGTTACGACTTTAATGTTTTTCACAATTAATCGTCAGTTAGTTCAGAGGTCTGAGTCAAATGACTATTGATTGATTTGACTTTAACCTTTTTTTGGTTTAACTGTATTGTTATTTTATTTGTAAAACATTTTACGTTAATACTTTTTGATTTATTCGATTGGATAGTTTCTCTTTTAAATTATTTAATAATTAGTATAATAATTCATTTGATCATTGAACTAATTTTATTATATTGCCATTCAAGCGTATTATTATTACGAATCTATCGAGTTCACATACTGGTTTATCTAGTGAATCTATAGTTTCTACCATTTGACAGATTAAATATTTGATAGTTTTTCAACTGGTTGGATTCAAATGTGTTTTGTTTTACATTAATCATTGGTTTTTGAAATATATCTCCTTTGTTGGTTGAGTACATGAAGACATAAACTACCATGCGAATTTCGATATTACTGTCTGCTAAAATGAACTGTTTATCTCTATAAGTAGACCCTTTTAGTTAGTTTACTGTAATTATCTTTCTGTACCTGTCATATTTTCATGACTAACGATAATAATAATATCACAGTGGTAATGTTTTAAGATTTCTTTGTAATCATTCTGCCTCTTTTTCCTTTTCTCAAATATCAGGAAGTGTTCTATGACTTTTCTGAATCGAAATATCAAAATGCTGAACCACGTCTTTCAATTTATGGTAGATCTATCAATGAATGGGATAATTTGGCTAAATGGGCTATTGATTGTAAAGTTTATTCTGATAATATACGTTGGTTGATTCAAGTGCCTCGTCTTTTCGATGTTTATCACGCCAAAGGATCAATGAAATACTTCCAAGTAAGTTCATATATTTACACATTCTTAATAAACCTATTAGTGCCCCGTGATCTGACTCATGTTTGATCGGACAAATGGTCTTTATTTAATGATTGCTGTCGAAATATACTTCCTGATTTTTCTCATATCTTATTATCGACTTAAATTGTGTTATTGTTTAACGGAATTATATTAACCAAATACGAGAATGAATTTCGAATACATATATTTCGTACACTCATTGATCTGGACAGGCAATCAGAGGGACGAAGCGAAGGAAAAGAAGCCAGCGAAGCAAAATGACGCACAGTGGAGAAGGCGTGTGAGCCAACTCAATTTAACCCAGCGTTAATCATTTTTTATAGTCACACAAAAATATGCTACAAATATGTGATGAGTAGGATATGAAGTGTACACACATACGCTCATACAAATACAGTCAGGCTTAATAAGTGAATTAATTAACAAGGAGCAGTTAAAAGGTTCCCCTATGTTATTGACATAGTTTAGTTTTCTTAAAATAAAACAATTATGTGAAAAAGTTTTCAGTGAAAAAATACATTAAAAGTAGTTAAATCCCTGAAATCGAATTGAGATAAAATAAAATAATTCAATATGTTTACCTTTTCCTATAATCGAATTGTTTCTATTACATAAATTCCCCAATTTCCTATTAGTAATGATTCGTACTTTTAGCAAAATGTAGGTCATTGTTTTCTTTCTTATATTTTAATAAAAGTTGGATTAAATTGACCAGTTGATCATCAATTGGCTGGTGAATAGTTCATATTACTTTCTGATACATGTTGGCAAAGAGGTTAAATCGATAATGTTTTGTAAAACAGACAGTTCCCACTTATTCGTTGTTTACTTTCCTTAGTGAAATCATTGTGGAGTCTTTCAATAATTAAAAATAGTATTAAAATATCATTGAAATGTATTAGATTTTTAATTTTATTTCTCAGTTTTATAAAATGACTATATGAAAACATATGAAAAGCACCAACTCAAGTATTTTGACTAATGTTTATCACCTCAAAAATTTTAATGTATCAGACTCAGATACAATAAAATCATAAAGGTGTTTTATTTTTGTTATTACTGCTAGAATTGTTAAACAGTCAAGTTTATTGACCAATTTTTACTCCTTATATCAAACAGAAAAATGTTGTGTTAAGTTATCAGTAATGACAAGTGAAAGCTATAAATTCTAGCTGTTATGTAACACAAAAAATGATCATTGAATTTATATATTCAGAATTCTCATCGCTTCATTCCAATGAAAATGTATGTAATTCCATTTTTTACAATATTATATGTCTAAAAGTAACTGAATCGTTGAATTTTAAGTCACCAAAAACTCAGTTTACTATGTATGGTATTTTTGTTGTTGAAATAATGTTTTAGTTTTCTTCATAATTGTTTTCATTTCAGGATATTATCACAAACGTCTTTCAACCTTTGTTCGAGGTAACTGTCAATCCTAAATCCCATCCTGAACTACATGCATTTTTACAATATGTAACTGGTTTTGATTCAGTGGATGATGAATCGAAATCTGATAAAGTTGTATTCAATGCATCAACTCCTACACCGGATGTATATGATTTAAATGAAAATCCTCCATACTCTTATTATATATTTTATATGTTTGCTAATATATCTCAATTAAATCAACTAAGAAGGTGAGCATTTTTCTTAAAATGTATTTTTGGGAATGATGGTTAGTAGTGAGAAGTTATATTTGTTACGTTTTGTTTATGCAATTATGCAGTCAGTTTATGCAACTTAGAACATTGATTCGACTATCTTAAATCCAGTCACTTTTTTATATAAATGATTCTTATATAGTTTAGGCGATTTGTGACGAGATTGTTGAATTTTCGCGGTTCACATTATAGACTGATTTTAGTTCAATATTTATTGAAAACTAGAAAACACTGGATAACTGTTTTATTATAGTATTGTGGTGTGAGCTACTTATATTCACATAAGTAGTATATAACGTGCGTTAAAAGGACGTAATGTCTGGCAGCAGAAAATGGAGAAGAGCAAGAACACAATGGAATTTGTAAGAAATCGCATGAACAATGAAATGGGAGACAATGGATTAGTGTTTGCAACGGGAACAGTACAGTTTGATATGATGCATTGATAATTTGCAAATTTACGATTGACTTTATGGTATTCAGATTTTGTTGAGATAGTCTGTAATTTTGTGCTAAATACATTCGATTGTCCCCACCCGTGTTCTCGTTCACTACAGTATCACTATATATCACGAATTTATTGAAGTTCAACTTGCATATCACTGAATTCTGGCTTAAATGTTTGTATTTGAGACAAAAGGGCTTGGATTCAATCTCAAAGTTGAGATAGTTGTTCAGTGTTTTCTGTTATTCAAATTATTATCTAAGTAAAAAATCACTCACTGACGTGATTAGTATATTAATTGTTCAATTATGGGAATCAGTTCATGTTTAAGGTCATAATGTTTATGCACTATTATTAAATTGAAATTATTTATAGATTTAAAATAGTTATTCACTTTATCTCGCCAGTACCAATGAGATAATCTTTTCAATTTATCTGTAAACAATTTATGAATAACGTTGAATCGATCGTGTCATGATGATGCAAATCATCATGTAAAATAGAACATAAATACTGTAAATTGAATTCTGAAAAAAAAAATAAACAGAACTAACAAAACAAAATACGAAATATACGTAAATAACAAAAATAAAATGATAAACAATTTTCAAGGTTTAATTATAATTAAATAATTTTGTATTAATAAGATTCTTGTTATATTGTTCATCTATTTATTTCCAAAAATTTCTAATTATACAATTTTTCTTACTGATAACTATGTATAAAATAAGAGGAATAGACTTCTAAGAATAATATGAATTCATTCATTTTATGGACTAGCCTTCAACTGCTTAAAAATTGGAAATGATAGTATGAATTAATCAAAGATGGATAGTGGCTACCAGTGGAGTCGAGGACGCGTGTTTCATGCTATTTCGGCACTCGTCAGCTGGATATACCTGCATCGCAGAGTTGATGTCCACTCTGGGACTTGAACCCAGTACCGTTCTCTTCAAACGCCATCGCTTTATCCACTTAGCTACTGAATCTTGATAGCCACCTGCTTATGACTTAAGGCTATATCGAAGCAATCCGCACAGGATGCACATATGACAACATGAGATTGATCGATTGCAGTCATAAATAACAATGGGAAGATACAAGTAAAACAACATCAAATGGTTAATATTAGTTATTCAGAAACAAAAGGGTGTACACACTCTATATAAAAAATACTCTTAATAATGAACATTAATAAACCAACAATAAATATGGAATAATCCTAAGAGATTTTCATGTGTTTGAATAATTCTGTACTTAGTAGTGTAAACATTCAAAAGAAAATTTTAAGAACGACTAAAGATAGTTTACTGATAAAACTGATACAAAAACTCTTAATTCTAAAACCAATTATTAATGCACAAATATGTGATTTCCTATACGGGAGCGAATCTAAAAACTTCCAGGTTTCACTGGATAAACTATTAAATCAACTCGCTTGATTCACAATGTACCTCGATAATCATCCTATGTATATAATCTTTGATAACTGTCTCACTGTTAACATATACTTCACTGATTAATGATTTCTAAATGAACTTCAGGAATCCGTTTTCTCAATAATCGTTAGTAGGCATATTATTATCGTTTATGCAAAGAATTTGTGCTAATCAATCAGTTTGAGACTATTTTTCATCATGGTCTATGATCAACTGTTTGAATACGAATTATGTATTGATTTCTAACGTCCAAATGTTAAATCGAGATAATACTTACATTTTTCCCGAATACCCATTTTCTACTGTCATATATTCAGTAGTTTAAAAGTTCACTTTAAATTTGTCTTTCTGTTTGTCTACTAGCTTGTGTGTTAAAATTTTGTTCTAGAATTATTTTATGTGCGGACTTTGATATAGAATTGTGTGTCCATTAATTTTGGTGTTAAATTCCTTCCGGCGTGAAATTAGAATTCATTCACTGTGCATACACTTTTTACTGGTGTTGTTTTGTCGGAGTGGAATTAACATTATCACCTCAAATGATGATATCACTTATAACTTTTTTGCTTCAAAAGGACATTTATCCTACGATTTTTCAAAGCAACCTGTTTTGATAGGTGTGATCATAAATTTCTAAAAATTCTTTTATTGTTCTTATGATCTCTTTTTATCTAATCCCTGATTAATCATTATTCATGGGAATTCAATCGATAACCATTCAAAACATCGGTCAGGAGTGCAACAATCAAGTAGTTTTTTAGGCTGACTCTATCTCATATTCGTCGAATAATAACAATAAATTCTGTTTATATCATTGTTTTTTAGATTTAATGAAACATAATTTTAACGTAACATTTGTTAGCCGATCGGCAATCAATTCATGGCGTTTGTTTTCATTAACTATTCATGTTTTCTTATACAACTAGTTCGTAATGTTGCTTTTTTCATCCTATAAGCAGAATATATTAATTTAATCATGTTCTTATGTTTTTCTTGTTGTGTGTTTGCAATTCTTTTTCAGTCATCGAGGCTTAAATACATTCTCATTTAGACCTCACTGTGGTGAAGCAGGTAATATTAATCATTTGGTTACTTGTTTCCTGTTGGCTGAAAGTATCAATCATGGTTTGTTGTTACGTAAAGCTCCTGTTCTACAATATCTTTACTTTATTGCTCAGGTAAAATGTTTAATACTGTTCTCTTTTCGACAAACATATTTTTTTATCATTAATGATGTGAGTTAGTAGATCATGTAAGCATTTTATGTTTACAGTGAATCTTATACTAGAAACTGATTAAACTGTTTTAAGATTGTTACTGGTGATTGTGGTATAGCAGTTTAAAAATCCCCATAGAATATATTCAAAAATGAAGAATATTTGAGCGAACAACTGTTTTCAATAACTTCATCATAAGATTACAGTTATGAGTCCATAATTATGATATTTTACAAAAGTCAAAATTAAGGCATGTATTAATAAATTTGACAATGTTATGTGTTAAAAATGGTGAACGTTTGCATATGTTACGATACATATACTTAAAAATTGTATTATTTGCAAATTAGAAATGTCATTCCTTGAAGGTCAGAATGATTTACAGTAAAGTGTCCAGTCACAATAATTAGAATATTATTGTAGCAAAAACGAAAATCCTGATTGAGATCTTAAACTGATTGATGTTAGACCCAGTAGTGCGCATCCACGACCCCCCCCCGGCGGAGCTCGAACCCAGGGCCTTCTAGCTCGCTCGCGAACGCCTAACCTACTGGACCACTGAGCCGGTGTCCAATGATGTTAATGTCTAACCTCAACCAACCCACGAAGTTGCACAACCATCTTCCGTTGTACTGAGTTAGTCACCTGTTTCTACCCGACACGGATTAGCTCCACTAGTCACGGCTTCTCATCATAACTCCGAGTCCCACAATAGGACGAAACGGCTGTCCAGTGCTTCCAGGTTTTCAATGGTGGTCTAACTTCAATCGGTTCATGATTTCAATCAAAACTTAACAATCTCCACAACCCTTATATTGAAAAATGAAAATGCAGAAGAATTGTGTGAATAGGATGCATACTAGGAGAATTTAATCTTGTCAATTTAGATTATAATATAATATGTAATAAAGGGGATGTTATCAAGGTAATTACGATAGACGAATTGGGAATGATAGATGTGAAGTTTGGGATAGAGGTAATTAAAAAAAGAGGTGGGTAAGATGTTTATGATATTCAGTTTAGGTATTCGGTGATCCAGTCGTGTTTTGTTAGCCAAACCAAAGACTGTGTGTTCTAAAGTTGTATAATGCTCTAATACTTAAAATATATTTATTTTTAAGAAATATGACTTATGCATTTTTACTAGTTAGTGGCAGAATAGTCGATTACATGATTATCAGTATAGAGTTGTAGAGATCGTTGAGTTCTTATTGAGGTCATGAACCCATCAATTTTACATCATCGTTGAAAGCCTGGAAGCACTTGACGGCCGTTTCGTACCATTACGGGACTCCTAGGTAGTGTACATCCACGAACGAAGGTCTCGGGTTTAAGTCCTACTTGTGGGATCGTGCGTACGCACTGCTGAGGAGTCGTACACTAGGACGAAACGGCCGTTAAGTGCTTCCAAGTTCTCAATGGTGGTTTAACAGTGATCGGTTTATGATCTCATTTGCATGACTGGCTGATACTAACTCAGTAAAATAGTTCAGTGATTACCTGTTGCCTATCGATGATTTGTCGTCATTCGGTTTCTTTGAAATTCTTTCATGTATCAGTCAGTCACAATTAAACTAAGGATGAAACTCGACCCAGATTTTCCTGGAGATTTCTTCGTAAAATAGCCTATCGAAGTCTCCCCACTCGGATGTAGAGTAAATGTTCGTTTTATTTATCTGAAGTTAATTACATTTTAAAATTCTATCTGAACTTATAATAATTTTCTTCCGTTAATTAGTGAACCTATTCATGAGTTTTTTTATCTATTCATTTACTTTTCTATAATGCCTCAAATCTTCAATAACAGATCGGAATAGCTATGTCACCTTTGAGTAATAATTCTCTGTTCTTGGATTATCATCGTAATCCATTGAATGACTTTTTAGCACGGGGTCTGTTCGTCAGTCTTAGCACTGATGATCCTTTACAATTTCATTTTACTAAAGAACCATTGATTGAAGAATATAGTATAGCTGCTCAAGTATGGAAATTCACATCTACTGATATGTGTGAATTAGCACGTAATAGTGTTTTGATGAGTGGTTTTTCCCCTCTGGTAAGTTATTATGATAATAATTATTATTATTTGTGTAAGATTATACATTTCCTTATCTGAATATCAATTGTAGAGAAATGGTTCCATTTTTACGCTTTCTTTCATAAAAGGTTAGAGGTATTGTACAATTTTTAGTTTTATACTCATAAAATAGAGTATATAGATATATTTTGTCATTAAGTCACATTTGTGGCACAATATATTGGGCAATCATTTATTTAGAAACATAGATATTTCAACATTTTTCGATACCTTTTAAAATGAACTATATTGTAGTGATGTGTTCATCTTGTTTAACTTATGCAATTTAGAATATCCATATTTTGCAAACATTTTATTTTAGATTTAAGAGCTGAAGTTAAATGTAGACGTTTTTCTTGGTTCTCAGGAAATAATTGTTCAGCTGGTAGGAAAATACTCTTTCTGGTGATCAGATTTTCAATTAACAGTGTTCGAATAACTAAACATATCCCGAATTATTTCAAATTAGCATATTTAGTTTAATTAAGAAATTACTTCTATATCCACAATTAAAAAAGATAGATCTTTCGAATTAGTATCAGTTATATTCCCTCTAAAATATCTTATTAACCAATTAAATTTGTCTTAGGTAAATTAATTACTAAGATGCTTTTTAAACATGTTGATTGTAACAGTTTAATTACCAAACATACTTTGAAGCGTGACGTTTAAGGGTGTATGAGTAGGTTACAAGAACGGTAGAATCTTTCGAATAAGGGCATGATATCAATTTATCAAATAATTTATCAGGTTTGTTACGTCCTATGGCCCGTCACATTTCACGTGTCAAAATCACCTATTAGAGCACTGACTTACATGACCTTGTCCCTGTGCTAAACCAATATCGCGTTAACCAGCCGACCATCTCTGAGTCCTTATTGGTCCTCCGTCAGGTAGATTCTCGCCCAACCCAGCCCGCTCAGTCAAAAACATAAATATCAGTCTCCGCTATACGAATCGTATATCTTTGACATGGTTTATATAAAATCAGACCAAACGGCATCACTCCACTAAATAAAAAATAATTATAGAAAATCAAGCCAAAAGTAGCTGTAAGTGTGAGAGGCTAACTCATAAATTGGGAATGACTTAAGAATAGTAAACCGTATAATAATGACCAACAGGTCAAGTGAAAGTTTATGATAAGAGAAATGTAAATATACATAATCTAGTTAGTTAATAGTTATACAATAAGAATATATATATATATATATATATATATATATATATATATATCTTCGGATACAAGAAGGTTGTGGGTAGGTTAAGAGCACCTGGTCGGGGTTCGGGCGGTTTTCATAACCACTGATTAGAGGAAACACCGAGTCATATCTGAAAATCGGTCGAAATGGCACAGATGGATTCAATCTCCATCTTCCTTTAGACCACGTGTTTTAAGAGTTTCTCATGCATTATAACTTCCCGAATTCATATTTTCTTGAATTATAATGTCTCTCCTTATCGCCTTCTACTAACGCGGATACTGTTACAACTTCTACTACTCTAATATTCTTGATAATTTTATCTAGCTGTGCTGATATAGTGTGGGAGCATTCTCTGATGGCCATATATTTCATGTTCTACTTAGTTTGCAAATGACTGACTGACTAAGAGTTTAATTATTTTATTTCCTAATTTGTTGTTGTTCTGTTACAGATTAAATCTCATTGGCTTGGACCTAATTATACTCAAGAAGGTGTTATGGGTAATGATATAACTCGAAGTAATCTACCCAACATTCGCGTTGCTTATCGTTTTGAAACCTTAACACAAGAATTACGTTTGTTATTAAATTCTGTGTTAGCGAGTCGAACTAGTGGATCTGTTTCACCTGGTAGTAGTACAGTAATGCATTCTCCAAAAAAGAACCATATTTCAACAGATTCTAGTCAAATCGATCATTTAAAGAAATGATTATTCTTGATACAATATATATACAATGATTATCGATACTAATTAGCTGCTAGTAACACTTTTGTCTTTTCTTTTAAATGTGAATTCACTTATCTTAATTTGAATTCTTCTTTCTGAATATATTTGTTCATGGTTTGTTATGAATTAAACAGTTGTAACACATTCTAACATTCATATAAATATCTACACTTCTTTTGCAGATAAATATCATAACGTAGAAATTAATTTTTCATCCATATATTCACACTATCTACATTTATCTTTCATTCTGATGTGCTTATTTTGATTTATTATTAATTAAGAGTCCTAATATAAGTACCATTTGATGCTAGATATTTTATTACTATTATTTCTGGGAATAATTGTATCTCACTTACACCATTCATCATTTAATGATGATAATCCACTGTTTAAACTTTCTCTGCGTTCATCAATTCTGATGAAGTGTTGTTAACAACACATCTACAAAGAGAAATTCATTACATTAATGATCATTTTAATTGTATCATTAAAGATAATAATTTGTGCGCATATACATAAACAAACGCACAAGTTGAATGCATTTACGGTAAAAGTGCAAATGTTTTAATACAGTGTTGATTTATCTGGTTAAAGATGTTTATGTTGCTTTTTAATAGTGTACGGTAACAAATCTTTATGTTATTATGTAATGAGAATGAACTTTGTAATATCATTAATGTCTATCATGTGTTTTTTTGTTTGAAATACGCAATTATTTATTCAATCAAATTTTATTTCAAAAAGTAATCATTTTAAACAAGAATATTTTCTACTTACTCATTCGGTTTGATTATCTATCTAGAAAGAGAATTGGTTTATTTTTAGAATTGATGTACGATATGATATAATATAACTTACTTTACATTGTTTAATCAGAGATGGGAAAAAGCACATGAGGATGGAGGACTTTTGAGTGTTTTTATGTATAAATTGATTAACACCATATTTATTCTGGTTAGAGTTTTTTTTTTTAGTAGGGCTTTTTTCTACGGAATGGGATTGCCAACTCTTTACCCAACCCTCCTAATTTACCCGACTTTGGAACGGACAGTAACTCTAGAAGAGCTACAGGTAGAGAACAATAGTTATAGAACAATAATAATAGTAAAATATTGTGAACTCATCTTAGTTTCTAGTTTCTCCTCAGCTGCTTACAATCATATCTGTTTTTAAACATAACATAATATTAAATAATATACCACGGGTAACTGAACAATTTGGAATGACGACGATATCCTGTATTATATATGTATAAATAAATAAACGAAATGTGTAAATTCATTTGAAAATATATTTTAAGAGAATATAGGAGGGAGTAGTAGTTAGCTAGAATCTGAAATTAATAAGGTGGATTGGATTATAATTGTTACTCTTCAAATAACTCACAGTTATGCTCTCAATATTCCTATCCAAATGACTTGTTTTTATATATATTTATTTATACGTATATAGTACAAGTTATTTTTGTCATTCCAACTTGTTCATTTACCAGTCTTAATGTTATATTGTCTGTAGACAGATTGTTTGTAAGCAGCTGAAGAGAAACTACAAATTCAGATGAATTCATAATATTTTGCTCTAATTATTATCCTAGCTTTATAAAAATTCATGAATGGAACTGATATATGTTTCACTCGATTTGTCATTTCTGATGACCATTAGTCGATATTCTGTCGGTCGGTATTCACTTCACACATTACTCATTTGGTTTCACAGATCATGGGTGACTGAATAATATTCATGAAATAATTCAAAAAGTATTGGTATGTCATAAGCAGGATATCGTGCATATTCAAGTAATGTTCAAGCTCGACTAGACAAAACTTATATATATTCTTTTGTATATGTAACTGAGCCTCCAAATGCCCTGGTACGACCGAGGGTGGGAAGAGTCAACTCTCCGTTTCGGAATGTTTTCACATGGCCAAGCGTATACAGCCACTGCCAGGGAAGTCCTGCTCGCCGCTGGGGTGTTGTTTACGATATTTAGAGGTAGAAAAACAAATGTCCGGCGCGTTAACCGGGTTGGTGGATATGAAGGATCCACCTAGGGGAGTTGGAAAACCCTGATTCAAAACCAATGGTACACATGGCCTCCATGGACCTGAGGAAACAAATGATGTATGAGCCAATTATTGATCACCAGATATCATGCGACTGCATCTCTTGACCTTGCTTCATTGCCTTGTCGACCAGACCTTCAGATCAAATTCTCCGAGTGTGGCCCGCTAAGGAAACCACCTGTCTCGATCTGGACATCTGGATATTATCACTGTGCACACACGAATCAAGTGTTTTGTGTGGCGCATATGTACTTGGTGCCCCCTTTTACCAATATTTATGCGTTAAAATATGTAACTATGATTGATATATTCGTGTCAAGCAGTATTTGAGTAGCAAACAATTTAAGAGACACAAATTCAGTTATCCATCTACAGAATCTCAGGTTAAAGGAAATATTTCATTTTGAACATGTTGCTGGTTATTTACACAGTGATAATTATGTGTTGTGTAAGCTATACGGGTACACGCAAAAGCTGTTAATTTTTCTATTTATTGCAAACTACTGAATAATAGCAAGTAAACAATGTCTAAATTGATATCTTTGTTCGTCACGCAGAAAACAAATTCTCACTACTAAACGGCATATTTACAACTAGATATTTCTCAAAATTTTCAGTGAGAGAAGTATTTTCTCTTTTTCACACGTATGTTAAGCATTGATTTATGATCCATGGTGTTAACATTAGTATGAACGTAATGATAACTGACATTTGATTGTAAGGACCTCGTTAAAACTGATATACTGTTAAACAGGTTCAAAATATTTGTAGAGTGGTGGTCTAAATCAATATGATATAGACTTGACAGAAAACTACATGAAGCTAAAGGATAGTGTGAGTTTGAATGTTTGTGGAAATCAAAATAATCGTTTACATGCCATTTCTCTCTGAAAAAAACACTAGACATGTCTCTAGCTTGAGCTTCACTAAGGACAAAATCTAACCTCACATGAAGTACTAATTTAAGCGGTGTGGATTATCTTGGAAACAGTTTACTAGAGCTATTCGGAGACAATTTTATTCAACTTGTGACCAATTTTGTTTGAATTTTATATGTGCAACAAAACATTTTAACTAATGTTGAGTAATCTATTATTTTAATTCGTAGTACTAATGGTTGAAATCATCCAGATTTATGATAAAAAATCAAAAAATATTTATATTATTAACAACAACTATTACATATGGTTAATTCGTGGACCCATCGCGTGATGTCATCAATTTTCAGTAGTATTGAAGTCTGAATTGATTTTACACATGCCAGGGCTTAGATTGGCCTACCGACTGATAGAAGATTCACGATAGAGCTAATTCATTAAATTTAGAAATGTAAACCGTTTAATCGCAAATTAGTGGTTTAAACTAAATAGATTTCTTATGAGGTCTGTAGGTCCTAGTTATACCTCTTTCTGGCTCGTTTATAGGGATTACTGAGGACTCTCATAATAAGATAAAACCGCTATTCGTGATATGATATGATCTGCAAAATTATTTCATTTTTTCGATCCAAATCTTAAAAATTATGGCAAAATCTCTGATACAGACCAATATGTTCATTTAATTAAGAATTAAATAAAGCTTGGACAATAGATTATATGAATGATTAAAATCCATATTCTTTCTTATTGTTATTTAAATCAAATTAATTAAGAATGGGATGACTGTATACATAAATTGAATTAAGAAAAAACAAGTTGAATAACAATTTAGTAAAAACAACCAAACTAGAAATGAAGTGAGATATTACGGGAGTTTACATAAGTTTTGAGAATTAATTGATGATGCGATGATCTTGGTGTTCACAAAATAAGAATTGATTTGGCAAAGTTCACATAACAAAATAAAGACTAATAAAATGATGATGATATTAATAATAATAACAATGACAAGAACAAAAATAATAATTTACCGAGGTAGTGACTACTTGGTCACTGTCTTTTTCTGGATACATAAATCAAATTTGAGTTTCGACAAACTGCAGAGACACTGTTTTTTGTTGGCTAATAATTTTGAAGAATTATGGATTGTCAATGGTATGCCGAGTATCTGTTAAATGCCAGGCCATCGGATTATTGAGAGCCGTTGGGCCTCTCAGTTTGAAATTCATCGAAAGGTGCTCAGAAATGTAAACATGTACCATTTTCTCTGTTTTTCAAAGTATATGATTTCACACGTACACGCAAAGTGGTAAATGCAATTGGATGTACTGAAAAAAGAAGACCTTATAGTTTTTCTTTGTTTGACTGAGTAGTTTGTTTCGTATAACATATCAGTCTTGTTGATGGATAAACAACCTGCATCGTGGCATTTATCCCGTGATTAATAATTCTACTAATTTCATCTTCTTTGAAGCGCGGACATAAGAAGCAGGTTTTCTTTTTCATTGTATTTAACATGTACGTTGGTTTTAGGATATTCTCCACAAATTTCGCTGGATATGCATTTTCACGTAGGTAAGTTGTAATGAAGTCAATCGCTCCTTCCAGGCTTTCTTTTTGGTAAAGTTTACGAATGCAATGTAAAGGAATTTATACAATTCCATTTTGTAACTATTTAGACAGAAGCTGTGGTGGTTTAGATAAACTCTACCTCATTTATTTTTTAAATGAATGTGCTTTTGTAGTGTGCCATCTGAAGGTCGCTTGATTCAAACATCAAAGCATTAGAATTTACCTTTTGCTTCATGTTCCTTAGTAAGATCTAGATCATTGTGTGCTCTGTTAAACAGGTCCTATAGGTACACAGAATCCTTCTGATTGTTATAGACAAAAAATCTGTTATCAGTATATCTACAATGGAGTGTAGTTACTTCGATTAAGTGTTTAAGCATTGTTTGTTCCAGGTTCCCCATAAATATATCAGCCAGAATTTGACCCAAGAGGCTACCCATGGCTACTCCATCAACTTGGCCGTACAACGCATTTGTGGACTGAAATTATGTAGTTTTGGTACACATAAAGAGGAGCTATTTTAATTCACTTATTGGGAAAGGAAGTAGTTCAGGATATTTCTCCAAGAGTAATTTCCGTGGAGAGATGAAACGTTAAAGAACACCATAAATTATCGGAAACATTGAAGCTATCAATCTTTTGTGTAATTTCAAAGCTATTCTTCAGACCAAGGGACTGTAATAGATCGGTCACTTTTTGGCATATGTGCATCCTGTGCGGATCGCCTCAAGTTACAAGCATTATAAGCAGAGATGTATAAACTCCAGCAGTACATCCAGCTGAATACTCTCAAATAAGATAAAACGCTCGTCTTGTATTCACTGTTAACCACCATCCATACTGATAAATCATTGTACATTTTGGCTAGTGATTATGATGATACCAGTAGTTCAAACTTATCTTTCGTTTATTATTGTGGGAAAAACGATTGATCAAATTTTGAACTCATTTGATGAAATAAGGTTAGCATCAAAATTATGTTGATGATAAAAAAAGTCGTCAGTACTAAAATTTAGACAGGGACGGATGGGGATTTAATAAGTTTTTAGGTAAAAGTTTATTTGAAAAAGATCGTAAATTATTACTTTAAATATAGCTGAATCTTAACTATCAGTGTATCCAAGATGAGTTTCGTTTTTGTTGTAACGGGTGGGTGACTGTAGGTTATGATAAGCAGCGTTTATATCGATCGCCTCTGTGACACGTAAACACGTACGAACGACCTAGTGTCCTGATTGGTCCTGCTTCGCTGTCTAACCCAGCCAG